AATAGACCTATTGGTTTTCCTTGAAATGTGTTATCAGTGTTGCATCCATAGTATGCTGACAAAAGAAAAAAAAACCTGGGGGCAACACTGATAACACATTTCAAGGAAAACCAATAGGTCTATTAAGCAAGAAAATATGCAAAGTTCAGTTCTTGGTGAAAAAGTAGGTCAAAGGTCAATTTCAAGGTCACAGTATATGACTTCCTATTCAAGTTCAATAGTAACCATGGGCATTTTTTTGCCAATTTTGGATATATAAAGGTTCAGTTCATCATAAAAAGTAGGTCAAAGGTCAATTTCAAGGTCACAGTTGGATTACCAGTATATGACTTCCTATTCAAGTTCAACAGTGACCTTGGGCATATCTCCAGTTTTCGAGATATAAGGGGTAAAAAATTTGCAAAGTTCAGTTCATGGTGAAAATTAGGTCAAAGGTCAATTTCAAGGACACAGTTAGATTGCCTGTATATGACTTCCTATTCAAGTTCAATAGTAACTATGGGCGTATCTCTGCTAGTTTTGGAGTAATTCACATTTTATTTTCACCACTGAATATTGCGTTGTACTTTTTTATATAGCGCAATGCCTAAACTGTGTCGAAAACAAAAAATTGCCCTTGACAATTTCTACAAAAATAAAAAAAAAAGGTCTCTGGCATTTACGTTACCAGAATTAGAGAGAGTTTTCAGTTTCGGTATCTAATGGCTGCTTCTCCCATGAAAATGCACCGATTGAACCCAATCTTCCAAAGATGGAGACCCTGATTGTAACCCCTCACCATAATATGAGAGCTTAGGTCTGTGTAGTTTCTGAAAATTGGTACAAACAAATATTTTTTTGCAGAAAATTCCCATTTTTAGAAAATTTTGGCCCGTTTGACCTTGAAATAAAGGTCGAAAGTCAAATCTCAGGGCACATTTGGAATCTCCACATATGACTTTCGGTCAGACATCTATAGTAATTTTTCCCATAATTCCTTCAGTTTGGGAGATATTTAGCATTGAATTTTCAAAAATTTTGACAAGGGTGCGTTTCAAAGAGCGCCACGCCCAGGCCAATGCACAGACTGAGACAAAAATACCAGGGGGTTCAAGTTGAGATTATATGTGACCTAAATCCAAGAGATGGGGACATGGGTCCTTGCGGTCTAGGAGGAGAAGCGGTAATGGTGACTTGTATCCCACGACACCCTGCGGAGCCAACGGAGCTGGGGGAGCTGTACGAGACGGGTCAGGACTAAAACCATGAGTACCGCCAGCATACGCTGGTGGTACTAATAATCTTGAATCATTAAGAACACGCGGCTATTTCTACAATTCTGGACTTCTGTTTTATGGTCTGAAGGAGCTTGATATATTTTTCGTTCAATGGCTAAGAAATGGACCAAAATGCCATCAAAATCTTATAAAATCCCAGTTATAAACTGCTCGGATGAGAATGATTTTAAACACAGAAGTTAGTGAAGTTCTCAGTTTCCAGTCAAAAAATGTTGACTTTGATTGTTGCGCATTAGCTATCATAGTCTGTGTACCTGATCTGTCTGAGTTCATACTTTTTATTCCATCATTTGACTGAGGGCTTTCTTTTAAACATTTGTGACGATGAACAACAGTCCCTTTGTTGTCGACATCGACAAATATATCACGTTATCACACCTACTGCAATGTCGCTGTAATAGGGTCATGAATATTTGAGTACTTTTTGCCAACGCTTACTATAAAAGCGAGCGCACACCACTTCTGGGTGCGGTCAGGTTTTTTCTCTTCGAAATGTAATAAGGTAAGACACGTAGAACACTTTGGATATGTACATATTTAGTTGTTCATTTATTTGATATAAAAGATTTGTAAACCGTCGTCACCTATTAGTTATTTATTAAGTCAGGTGATATTAGTATAAAGTCATCTTTTTTATATCAATATATATATATTTAGTCGACATGTACGTTATCCTCCTAGACAATTGCTTTCCTGGCCGCCGCGTTACTGTGTACTCAATCTTTAAGTTGCCAAATGTTGTGTAAGTACTTTAGCTACAGCATATATTTAATTTCATAGTTTTAGTCATATTGTCGATATTTGCGTGTTCATATCTCTCTCTCTCTCTCCGTTCTTTATATTTGCATTTGTGTGTACACTTAATGTAATATATTTATTTATTTATTATTATTATTATTATTTATCTATTTTACTTATTTTTTGTTTAGTTTCACCACATCAGAAAACACCTCAGAACTCACCTCAGAATTCACCTTAGAATCTACTATAAATAGCTACAAAATGTGCGTGAACAATAAAGGTGAAATTAAAAGATTTGTTTTTGAGTTATTGACTGGTACGCAGTAACACCCTTAAACATCTTTTCTATAACATGAACAATCTGAAAGACTGGACCAGTGATTTTGTAGCTGTTTGACACAACTGTTGAACATCTGCTGAAGTCTGTGTAAATAATTGTTAACTTCCTGTGACAAGTGTTAAAGGCTCAACACTCCCACTATGTTCCTGTAACAGGTAAGGAACATCTAACACAATCACCATGTTTCTGTGGCAAGCAATAGCCTCAAAACACACTTCTGTAATGCCCCTATTTCACACAGACCACGAATCCCACGAATGGCCATGAATTGACAAATTTCAGGATTCGTGGTTGAATCGTAATCAGTTCGTGAAGTTCTTAACAGATTCGTATATATTCATAGTCAGTTCTTGCACTTCTTGACCAACAGGAATTAGTGGCAAAAACTTTGATGCCCCTATTTCACACAGACCATGAATCCCACGAATCGCCAGGAATTGAAAATTTCAGGATTCGTGGTTGAATCATAATCAGATCGTGAAGTTCTTAACAGATTTGTATATAATCGTAGTCAGTTCTTGCAATTCTCGATCAATCGGGAATTCATGGCAAAAATTTTGAGCTGTTCAAAATTTTGGCCATGAACTCCCGATTCCAAAAAATCGGAGTGAATTTCTGGACAATATTTGTGCGATTCCAGCCGAATCCCACAAATATTCGTATCACTATCGCACTAGTATCATAACTGAATTGTAGAGCGTGTCGAATTAGACCAGAAAATTGGCAAAATCTCACGAATCCTCACGAATCCTGAAATTTGTCAATTCCTTGAGATTCGTGGTCTGTGTGAAATAGGGGCATAATGAACTGACTTCTATAATCACCGTCTCCATGTAACAGGTAATGAACACCTAGGAGCACATTATAGGTTCCTGGGAGTAATGCAGTATTGAAGATTTCTATCCTCCCCTCCCTCCAAAAAGAAACCACATACAATTGGAAACAATTAGTTTTTAAAATCACATTTAAATGCTCTTTCTAATCTTGAAAATAGTATAGTATTAACTGATTACTAAAAAGAATTATAAATCATTTGAAACAAATGCTACTAGTACATAGGACTATAAGACTAAAAACCAAAGTATCCATTTCATTTTTTATAAAATTTTAGTAGAACAATTGACCTTAAAGATACCCATTCTTTAAAAAATAGCATTTTGTCACCTGTATAATACTCACTTCCTAATTAAGTTGAGGGGGACTGTGAACATGAAACCACCATCTCTGATCACTCCCATGCCATTACTCCTGCCATTACTGCTAATACACACCAGTTCTGGCTCCATGTCCTTGTTGGACACCAGCAACCTGCCAAACACCAAGTCACCTATCTGAAAATCAATGCCCATTACCTTTATATGATTTCAAACAGAGAAACCCTTCCCCTAACTGTCACAACCTATACAGTTTGCCTACCCCACCTTAACTCAATAAGCAAGCACAAAGTGCATGTTCCTTTTAGAAAACATACTGTTAACAAGAAAGTCAAACATTCCTCAATATTTTTTCAAGTTTTGGATAATAATTACTAAACATACCTTAAAGCTTAATGTAGATATCAATTATTTTAAATTACCTACTTTCACGTCTGGTCGGTTTCTTTTTGTGGCACCTTCAAATGATAGGTATGACAACGATGCTTGTTCACTTCCTCCAATGTCCACTCTGAATACATCACCTGCTTTCATAGTTACAATACCAATGACATTTTCTCCCTTGGTTGGAATGTACTAAAATAGTAACAAGAAAAACAATTAGTAAGGACTGGAAGGGCTGTGTATACACATTCATTTATATTATAAAAACAAATTCACAAAAAATTTAAAAACAGATTACAGGGAATCAGGGTAAGACACGTTTCCATACCCAGATTGATCAAGCAGGATCGACACATCTCTGAGGGGTTTCTCACTAAATTGCCTTCAGCTTAAGTGACTTAGATGTCTATCATGTGTATCAAGCCCTTAGCACTATTAGAAAAAAACTTGGGACCCTAATAAAAATTGAGAGACGGTGTAGCTGAATTGCACAATACACCGCAATACACTTGAAAAAACAAGTTCAGTTGCAAGTAAATATAGGAAAAGGTATAAATAGGGTGATATTAAAGCAAAATATATTACCTAGTACTTAATATCGCTGATACAACTTAACAAATCGGCAAGATCTTGTCATCGTCTGGTCTCGCCATGTTGGCGAGTGGCTCCTCTTGGCTGGTAATATGTCTAAGAAGAGCCCCTCGCCAACAAGGCTGCCGATACGAAGATGTAAAAGTCTTGCCATTTGTTGAGTTATATCAACAGGCCCATAGCCAGGGGGTTCGGGGGTTCAAAAGAACTGCCCTTTTTGCTAGGAAAAGGTCTGTTCTGAGTAAAATTTGATCTTTTATAGCAAAAGGTCCACATTTTCAGAAAAAGACCCCCCCCCTTTGGAACTGCTGGCTACGTGCCTGATCAACTATATGTAGTGCCAAGGGCAGGTAGAACCGGCCGGGTAGCTCAGTAGGTAAGAGCACTCGCCCTGTAAGCGAGGGGTCCCGGGTTCGATTCCTGGTCTGGTCGGTGATTTTTCTGCACTCACCCCAAAACGCTACAATGGTGGCAGCGGTGTTGCGAGATAGGGCTCGCGTCTTTCGGCATTTGGGGGGGAGGAGTGTAGTGCCAGGGGCAGGTAGAACCGGCTGGGTAGCTCAGTAGGTAAGAGCACTCGCCCTGTAAGCTAGGGGTCCCGGGTTCGATTCCTGGTCTGGTGGGTGTTTTTTCTGCACTCACCCCAAATCGCTACATATATTAAATTTAATTAAAATTACTTAGTATAGTAATATAATAATTGGCTTTTATATCACCCTACATTGTTGGGAATGACCGTTTCTTTTGTGTAATTTGCAACTGCATGGATGTCTGGCATGCCTACTGAAGCAGTTTTGTTTTTCATGTGTATTGGGCTGTGTTGCGGTGTATTCCGCAATTCAGCTACACCCAGTGGTTTTAACGCTCACCCGCTTTTGACGACTGTCAACCCAATATATATTGGGCTCTTTGTGTTTTAAGATCCCAGCTTTAGATACTGTAACCTGATCAGAATCTCTTCGAAGCCCTGGTCCTGTCACAAACCTGGTAGAATCTTCTGTATTTATCATAAGTCTCACTTGGTCACCAGGTAAAACCACGCTCCCGACTTCGGCCATGTTGCGGAAATACCGACTACTTTGTAATAGGCTTGTCTTGTGCAAATCGAAACAATGCTCAGCAGCGGGAACACCTGGTGACGCGAAAGATAATGAAAGCAGAATTAAAATGAAATATTTATTTATTTCTACCTTATTTAGTACGGGATGAAGTTAGGGTTGGTAGTGTCAGACTTGAATGATAGGTTTACATATCACCTACCCCCTGGGAAGCTTTTATTGTTACTGTAAAGGTACAGGTAAACACATAATTGTGTAATATTTGAGGCGCTCTAAACTTTAGGTTAAAACAGCTTCAACACACTTCGTAGCTAGGGCCCTGCGTACACCTTTGCTTTAAAAATCTCCATACAAACATATACAAGGGACTCCGAACAAGCTCGAAAATATACCTGAAACACTCTTCAAGACACAAACCGTACCGTATGTGCTACTACATGTAGTACATATTGATCAGCACGTAAAGCTGCATGTCAAGAATTGCAAATGCATGATTTTCTTTTTCTGCAAAACTGACCAGGATAAATAAGTTTCTGTATATGTTAACCAACTGTTAACTTACAAATTTTGGTACCAGTACATGTGTAGGCCCAAAGCAGCGTTGAATGGGAGAAGAGGAGATGGGAGTAGGGATTACCATGCAGTAAGCGATCCACGAACGGAAAACAATTCCCTGTCGGATTTTTTTCTATAAAATTGTTGACCACCGCCCCTTCCCCGCCCCGGAATATAATTCCATACACACATGCAATCACACACACTTAGGGAGAGAGGGAGACAGACCTTATTCAATGTATCATTCCAAGCGACGCGTGCATGCTTGCAAGTACATGTGTCTGATGGTTAAATAGCTAGTAAGGAAATCTGAAATCCAATTAGTATTTATTTTATAGAATGAAACTAGTCGCCTGCGACATCAATAATTATGTGAAAACACCACTTTGTGAGACAACATATATAAATAATTTTCAATAATTTGTCATTAACTTTGAGTATAAGTGGAATTTGAAATCGAAACTAACTAGGAATTCCTAAGCTGTTCTTATAACTTTCGCGCAGTTGCCGAAGTTGCGGATCTCCTTACGGAGCCTCGAGCCGCTACACATGCAGACGAAAACATGGCGCAAACATTCGAGTTGTGCGTTTTGTTACTCCTGTATCTTTTAGGGTTTTCTCCAGTACGGTGGAATTTAGTAGCAGCTGAAACCAACCAAAGTTACTGCCCCAGTGCTTGCACGTGTAGTGGATACGCTTTTACCGTGAGAGCCGACTGTTCAGGACAGAATTTACATGGAATTCCGTCCGACTTGAGTTCATTCACTGTTCAGCTGTGAGTATTAGTGTTGTTAGCGTGGTACACTATGAAAGGGTGCCTAGCCTGTACACAGATACTGGATGTTTCATTGCAGCCGGAAAACGGCCCTGTGAAGGAGACCTCCGACAATATTAACTCTTCACTGATTTTTAATGTACTAATTAATGTTAATACCAAATTTGATAATCCACTAAATACGACAGGGGTTTTCATTGTGAACGTACATGTATTGTACGTTTACTCTATATCTACAGTATACAGGTAGACTGTTGTTTAAGACCCCATTTCCATAGATTTTAGATCGATCTATCCCTGTGGGGAGTCTCACTAGATTACTGTCAGCTTAGCCGGCTTAAGTGTCTGTCCTGCCTACTGAAAGCTGTAAGGGGGTAATTACCTATGGTGCGCGCTCAGCTGACTGCAATTTAGTGTGAACCCCCAGGGAGTTGGGTCGATCTAAATCTTAATCTCTGGATCGATCTAAATCTCTGGGAATACACCCTAAGACGTTACTGACAATATCATATCACCAGAAAAAAATGGAATCGAAATTGAAAAACACACTGAATGTGTAGTTAGACAGATGTGCTAACATTGCATCTTACGTAACTCCGTTCTTCATCAGTCACAAAGTAGAGTTCGCAGATGAGTTGTTTTTAAATGCCGGTATTACTACAACCAGTATCCACTGCAGCTAGAATGGATTAACCTCTTTTCTAGGCCTTAGAAAGGGGCAGTTAGCCCTTGGGTTCTGTCAGCCCCNTGTACATAAAAAAAACCTGGGGGCAACACTGGGCAGATCTCTGCTGGTTTTGAAGATATGAGAAGCAAGAAAATATGCAAAGTTCAGTTCTTGGTGAAAAAGTAGGTCAAAGGTCAATTTCAAGGTCACAGTATATGAATTCCTATTCAAGTTCAATAGTAACCATGGGCATTTTTTTGCCAATTTTGGAGATATAAAGGTTCAGTTCATCATAAAAATTAGGTCAAAGGTCAATTTCAAGGTCACAGTAAGATTACCAGTGTATGACTTCCTATTCAAGTTCAACAGTGACCTTGGGCATATCTCCAGTTTTCGAGATATAAGGGGTAGAAAATTTGCAAAGTTCAGTTCATGGTGAAAATTAGGTCAAAGGTCAATTTCAAGGACACAGTTAGATTGCCTGTATATGACTTCCTATTCAAGTTCAATAGTAACTATGGGCGTATCTCTGCTAGTTTTGGAGTAATTCACATTTTATTTTCACCACTGAATATTGCGTTGTACTTTTTTATATAGCGCAATGCCTAAACTGTGTCGAAAATAAAAAATTGCGCTTGACAATTTCTACAAAATTTTAAAAAAAATAAGGTCTCTGGCATTTACATTACCAGAATTAGAGAGAGTTTTCAGTTTCGGTATCTAATGGCTGCTTCTCCCATGAAAATGCACCGATTGAACCCAATCTTCCAAAGATGAAAGGAGACCCTGATTGTAACCCCTCACCATAATATGAGAGCTTAGGTCTGTGTAGTTTCTGAAAATTGGTACAAACAAATATTTTTTTGCAGAAAATTCCCATTTTTTGAAAATTTTGGCCTGTTTGACCTTGAAATAAAGGTCGAAAGTCAAATCTCAGGGCACATTTGGAATCTCCACATGACTTTCGGTCATATGACTTTCGGTCAGACATCTGTAGTAATTTTTCCCATAATTCCTTCGGTTTGGGAGATATTTAGCATTGAATTTTCAAAAATTTTGACAAGGGTGCATTTCAAAGAGCGCCACGCCCAGGCCAATGCACAGACTGAGACAAAAATACCAGGGGGTTCAAGTTGAGATTATATGTGACCTAAATCCAAGAGATGGGGACATAGGTCCTTGCGGTCTAGGAGGAAAAGCGGTAACGGTGTCTTGTATACCATGACACCCTGCAGAGCCAACGGAGCCGGCGGAGCTGTACGAGACGGGTCAGGACTAAAACCATGAGTACCGCCAGCATACGCTGGTGGTACTAATAATCTTGAATCATTAAGAACACGCGGCTATTTCTACAATTCTGGACTTCTGTTTTATGGTCTGAAGGAGCTTGATACATTTTTCGTTCAATGGCTAAGAAATGGACCAAAATGCCATCAAAATCTTATAAAATCCCAGTTATAAACTGCTCGGATGTGAATGATTTTAAACACAGAAGTTAGTGAAGTTCTCAGTTTCCAGTCAAAAGATGTTGACTTTGATTGTTGCGCATTAGCTATCATAGTCTGTGTACCTGATCTGTCCGAGTTCATACTTTTTATTCCATCATTTGACTGAGGGCTTTCTTTTAAACATTTGTGACGATGAACAACAGTCCCTTTGTTGTCGACATCGTCAAATATATCACGTTATCACACCTACTGCAATGTCGCTGTAATAGGGTCATGAATATTTGAGTACTTTTTGCCAACGCTTACTATAAAAGCGAGCGCACACCACTTCTGGGTGCGGTCAGGTTTTTTCTCTTCGAAATGTAATAAGGTAAGACACGTAGAACACTTTGGATATGTACATATTTAGTTGTTCATTTATTTGATATAAAGATTTGTAAACCGTCGCCACCTATTAGTTATTCATTAAGTCAGGTGATATTAGTATAAAGTCACTTTTTTTATATCAATATATATATATTTAGTCGACATGTACGTTATCCTTCTAGACAATTGCTTTCCTGGCTGCCACGTTACTGTGTACTCAACGTTTAAGTTGCCGAATGTTGTGTAAGTACTTTAGTTACAGCATATATTTAATTTCATAGTTTTAGTCATATTGTCGATATTTGCGTGTTCGTATCTCTCTCTATCTCTCTCTCCGTTCTTTATATTTGCATTTGTGTGTACACTTAATGTAATATATTTATTTATTTATTATTATTATTATTTATCTATTTTACTTATTTTTTGTTTAGTTTCACCACATCAGAAAACACCTCAGAACTCACTTCAGAACTCACCTCAGAATTCACCTTAGAATCCACTATAAATAGCTACAAAATGTGCGTGAACAATAAAGGTGAAATTTAAAGATTTGTTTTTGAGTTATTGACTGGTACGCAGTAACACCCTTAAACATCTTTTCTATAACATGAACAATCTGAAAGACTGGACCAGTGATTTTGTAGCTGTTTGACACAACTGTTGAACATCTGCTGAAGTCTGTGTAAATAATTGTTAACTTCCTGTGACAAGTGTTAAAGGCTCAACACTCCCACTATGTTCCTGTAACAGGTAAGGAACATCTAACACAATCACCATGTTTCTGTGGCAAGCAATAGCCTCAAAACACACTTCTGTAATGCCCCTATTTCACACAGACCACGAATCCCACGAATGGCCATGAATTGACAAATTTCAGGATTCGTGGTTGAATCGTAATCAGTTCGTGAAGTTCTTAACAGATTTGTATATAATCGTAGTCAGTTCTTGCAATTCTTGATCAATCGGGAATTCATGGCAAAAATTTTGAGCTGTTCAAAATTTTGGCCACGAACTCCCGATTCCAAAAAATCGGAGTGAATTTCTGGACAATATTCGTGGGATTCGGCTGGAATCGCACGAATATTCGTATCACTATCGCACCTGTATCATAACTGAATCGTAGAGCGTGTCGAATTAGACCAGAAAATTGGCAAAATCTCACAAATCCTGAAATTTGTCAATTCCTTGAGATTCGTGGTCTGTGTGAAATAGGGGCATAATGAACTGACTTCTATAATCACTGTCTCCATGTAACAGGTAATGAACACCTAGGAGCACATTATAGGTTCCTGGGAGTAATGCAGTATTGAAGATTTCTATCCTCCCCTCCCTCCAAAAAGAAACCACATACAATTGGAAACAATTAGTTTTTAAAATCACATTTCAATGCTCTTTGTAATCTTGAAAATAGTATAGTATTAACTGATTACTAAAAAGAATTATAAATCATTTGAAACAAATGCTACTAGTACATAGGACTATAAGACTAAAAACCAAAGTATCCATTTCATTTTTTATAAAATTTTAGTAGAACAATTGACCTTAAAGATACCCATTCTTTAAAAAATAGCATTTTGTCAGCTGTATAATACTCACTTCCTAATTAAGTTGAGGGGGACTGTGAACATGAAACCACCATCTCTGATCACTCCCATGCCATTACTCCTGCCATTACTGCTAATACACACCAGTTCTGGCTCCATGTCCTTGTTGGCCACCAGCAACCTGCCAAACACCAAGTCACCTATCTGAAAATCAATGCCCATTACCTTTATATGATTTCAAACAGAGAAACCCTTCCCCTAATTGCCACAACCTATACAGTTTGCCTACCCCACCTTAACTCAATAAGCAAGCACACAGTGCATGTTCCTTTTAGAAAACATACTGTTAACAAGAAAGTCAAACATTCCTCAATATTTTTTCAAGTTTTGGATAATAATTACTAAACATACCTTAAAGCTTAATGTAGATATCAATTATTTTAAATTACCTACTTTCACGTCTGGTCTGTTTCTTTTTGTGGCACCTTCAAATGATAGGTATGACAACGATGCTTGTTCACTTCCTCCAATGTCCACTCTGAATACATCACCTGCTTTCATAGTTACAATACCAATGACATTTTTTCCCTTGGTTGGAATGTACTAAAATAGTAACAAGAAAAACAATTAGTAAGGGCTGGAAGGGCTGTGTATACACATTCATTTATATTATAAAAACAAATTCACAAAAAATTTAAAAACAGATTAAAGGGAATCAGGGTAAGACACGTTTCCATACCCAGATTGACCAAGCAGGATCGACACATCTCTGAGGGGTTTCTCACTAAATTGCCTTCAGTTTAAGTGACTTAGATGTCTATCATGTGTATCAAGCCCTTAGCACTATTTGAAAAAAACTTGGGACCCTAATAAAAATTGAGAGACGGTGTAGCTGAATTGCACAATACACCGCAATACACTTGAAAAAACAAGTTCAGTTGCAAGTAAATATAGGAAAAGGTATAAATAAGGTGATATTAAAGCAAAATATATTACCTAGTACTTAATATCGCTGATACAACTTAACAAATCGGCAAGATCTTGTCATCGTCTGGTCTCGCCATGTTGGCGAGTGGCTCTTCTTAGCTGGTAATATGTCTAAGAAGAGCCACTCGCCAACAAGGCTGCCGATACGAAGATGTAAAAGTCTTGTTTGCCATTTGTTGAGTTACATCAACAGGCCCATAGCCAGGGGGGTTCGGGGGTTCAAAAGAACTGCCCTTTTTGCTGGGAAAAGGTCCGTTCTGAGTAAAATTTGATCTTTTATAGCAAAAGGTCCACATTTTCAGAAAAAGACCCCCCCCCCCTTTGGAACTGCTGGCTACGTGCCTGATCAACTATATTAAATTTAATTAAAATTACTTAGTATAGTAATATAATAATTGGCTTTTATATCACCCTACATTGTTGGGAATGACCGTTTCTTTTGTGTAATTTGCAACTGCATGGATGTCTGGCATGCCTACTGAAGCAGTTTTGTTTTTCATGTGTATTGGGCTGTGTTGCGGTGTATTCCGCAATTCAGCTACACCCAGTGGTTTTAACGCTCACCCGCTTTTGACGACTGTCAACCCAATATATATTGGGCTCTTTGTATTTTAAGATCCCAGCTTTAGATACTGTAACCTGATCAGAATCTCTTCGAAGCCCTGGTCCTGTCACAAACCTGGTAGAATCTTCTGTATTTATCATAAGTCTCACTTGGTCACCAGGTAAAACCACGCTCCCGACTTCGGCCATGTTGCGGAAATACCGACTACTTTGTAATAGGCTTGTCTTGTGCAAATCGAAACAATGCTCAGCAGCGGGAACACCTGGTGACGCGAAAGATAATGAAAGCAGAATTAAAATGAAATATTTATTTATTTCTACCTTATTTAGTACGGGATGAAGTTAGGGTTGGTAGTGTCAGACTTGAATGATAGGTTTAGCTATCACCTACCCCCCGGGAAGCTTTTATTGTTACTGTAAAGGTACAGGTAAACACATAATTGTGTAATATTTGAGGCGCTCTAAACTTTAGGCTAAAACAGCTTCAACACACTTCGTAGCTAGGGCCCTGCGTACACCTTTGCTTTAAAAATCTCCATACAAACATATACAAAGGACTCCGAACAAGATCGAAAATATACCTGAAACACACTTCAAGACACAAACCGTACCGTATGTGCTACATATTGATCAGCACGTAAAGCTGCATGTCAAGAATTGCAAATGCATGATTTTCTTTTTCTGCAAAACTGACCAGGATAAATAAGTTCCTGTATATGTTAACCAACTGTTAACTTACAAATTTTGTTACCAGTACATGTGTAGGCCCAAAGCAGCGTTGAATGGGAGAAGAGGAGATGGGAGTAGGGATTACCATGCAGTAAGCGATCCACGAACGGAAAACAATTCCCTGTCGGATTTTTTTCTATAAAATTGTTGACCACCGCCCCTTCCCCGCCCCGGAATATAATTTCATACACACATGCAATCACACACAGTTAGGGAGAGAGGGAGACAGACCTTATTCAATGTATCATTCCAAACGACCCGTGCATGCTTGCAAGTAAGTACATGTGTCTGATGGTTAAATAGCTAGTAAGGAAATCTGAAATCCAATTAGTATTTATTTTATAGAATGAAACTAGTCGCCTGCGACATCAATAATTATGTGAAAACACCACTTTGTGAGACAACATATATAAATAATTTTCAATAATTTGTCATTAACTTTGAGTATAAGTGGAATTTAAAATCAAAACTAACTAGGAATTCCTAAGCTGTTCTTATAACTTTCGCGCAGTTGCCGAAGTTGCGGATCTCCTTACGGAGCCTCGAGCCGCTACACATGCAGACGAAAACATGGCGCAAACATTCGAGTTGTGCGTTTTGTTACTCCTGTATCTTTTAGGGTTTTCTCCAGTACGGTGGAGTTTAGTAGCAGCTGAAACCAACCAAAGTTACTGCCCCAGTGCTTGCACGTGTAGTGGATACGCTTTTACCGTGAGAGCCGACTGTTCAGGACAGAATTTACATGGAATACCGTCCGACTTGAGTTCATTCACTGTTCAGCTGTGAGTATTAGTGTTGTTAGCGTGGTACACTATGAAAGGGTGCCTAGCCTGTACACAGATACTGGATGTTTCATTGCAGCCGGAAAACGGCCCTGTGAAGGAGACCTCCGACAATATTAACTCTTCACTGATTTTTAATGTACTAATTAATGTTAATACCAAATTTGATAATCCACTAAATACGACAGGGGTTTTCATTGTGAACGTACATGTATTGTACGTTTACTCTATATCTACAGTATACAGGTAGACTGTTGTTTAAGACCCCATTTCCATAGATTTTAGATCGATCTATCCCTGTGGGGAGTCTCACTAGATTACTGTCAGCTTAGCCGGCTTAAGTGTCTGTCCTGCCTACTGAAAGCTGTAAGGGGGTAATTACCTATGGTGCGCGCTCAGCTGACTGCAATTTAGTGTGAACCCCCAGGGAGTTAGGTCGATCTAAATCTTAATCTCTGGATCGATCTAAATCTCTGGGAATACACCCTAAGACGTTACTGACAATATCATATCACCAGAAAAAAATGGAATCGAAATTGAAAAACACACTGAATGTGTAGTTAGACAGATGTGCTAACATTGCATCTTACGTAACTCCGTTCTTCATCAGTCACAAAGTAGAGTTCGCAGATGAGTTGTTTTTAAATGCGGGTATTACTACAACCAGTATCCACTGCAGCTAGAATGGATTAACCTCTTTTCTAGGCCTTAGAAAGGGGCAGTTAGCCCTTGGGTTCTGTCAGCCTCGCCTGGTTTCTCTAAAAGAATGGCTTCAGATACATGTAACTATGTGATGAGTCTTTTTGAAATGCAGCTCTGTTCCTTAGTAAACTAAATGCAACTTATGTTTTTGTGAAACAGTACCCTGGAGCCAGTTGGCTGTTTGATGATATACATGTAAGAAGGTATATTACTTGTGATGAGGATTTTTATTGTGGAACCTTTTGTTCAGTCAGACAGTTTTGGGACCAATCTTGCCATTTTGTGTTGAATAACATGCTAATTGTAAATATGGATCCATTTCATAATCAGTGCAGCAATGCCTTGCATGCTGAATTATTTTAAGATCCTTGAACACTTTTATTTCAGATTGAGCATACTCTGTTAAAAGCTGTTGCAAAAGGCGAAGGCAGTTGAGATGAAATATGAATGAGGCAGAGATAGGGAAGGATTTATAGCATTCTTGTACATATAGATGTGCAGCCGGGTGTATGGTTTACAGGTTTACTCTGCTCTGGAAAGATGGCCATGTAGGCACAGCAACAAATTAGGCAATCTTGATGAATTCACACCTGGTCATTAGCACTTGAGTTAAAGCACTGAATAATTGTAATCTTCTGGGTTTCATCAGCGAGGTATTTGGAAGCATATGGTACTTTTTTCCAAAGGCAATAAGTTTGCTGATAAGTTTAGCTACCAGATTGCAAATTCATTGTGCAGATTCTCAGTTGATCTTGTTGTTTTTAATCAATTTACAGTCTTTCTTAAAGATTAGGTAGAATGGTAGTGAATAGAGTGGAGTGCAAACCAGTATGAATATATTAACACCTGTGTATACCGGTAGAGTTTGTTTTTGAAAATGTAGAGTTACAAGAAAATTTGCAAAGAAATGGCAATTTCTGCTTTCCTTAGTGACAATAAGGGGAGTATTAAGCAAAGAGGAAATGTGAATTTTTCCTGCCCTAAGAGCGTGCACCTTGCTTGGCCACCTAGTGTAAGCATGCCACTTTTATACCTGTTACATGACCCGGACTGGGATTTTTTACCATAGGAAGCGAGGAAGTTTTCATCAATTTAATGCATCATTTCCCCAATAGACAAAAGTTGTCAGTTTGAGTCTGACTGTGTTGGCATTAGTGAATGGAAAGTGACAGGACCCTTGACTTAAATTAACTGCGATTTGTTGACTGTTGAAAGCTGGCAGTGGAATTTCAATGGCAATATTCCACGCTACCACCTGAGTGCAATTACCAGATATAATTTCATGGGTAGTTTGACTAATTGCATCAAATTCTCTACAAATGATCATCGAAGAGGAAAGAATAAATTAATGGTAGGCTTGCAGTTGGTTTGTGTGTCTAACAATAAGTTACACAGAAGAAATTTGAGATGTTGAAAGCTTAGCTGGATAGTACAGATGATTGTACAACACTGAAAAAAAAGAGAGGCATCTCCAAACTGAAATTTTTAAATAACCTGGCTAATCATGACTTGTTGAAAAATAAAGATAAAATCACAGCAGAAATACAAAATGAAATCTGAAGATGCCTCAGTTGATTCAGGGGCATGCCATAATGGCCAGTAATCAATTGTAGTAGATGGAGTTCCTGAAATGTTTTCATGCTGCTTAAGAAGTAACCTAGGGCAACATCAGTAGAAAAATGTAATCCTTTTTACTATCATTGACATTGTGTTGACCTTTCAAATCACCTCCCCTTCTGGCACAAGCAGTANCGCCTGGTTTCTCTAAAAGAATGGCTTCAGATACATGTAACTATGTGATGAGTCTTTTTGAAATGCAGCTCTGTTCCTTAGTAAACTAAATGCAACTTATGTTTTTTGTGAAACAGTACCCTGGAGCCAGTTGGCTGTTTGATGATATACATGTAAGAAGGTATATTACTTGTGATGAGGATTTTTATTGTGGAACCTTTTGTTCAGTCAGACAGTTTTGGGACCAATCTTGCCATTTTGTGTTGAATAACATGCTAATTGTAAATATGGATCCATTTCATAATCAGTGCAGCAATGCCTTGCATGCTGAATTATTTTAAGATCCTTGAACACTTTTATTTCAGATTGAGCATACTCTGTTAAAAGCTGTTGCAAAAGGCGAAGGCAGTTGAGATGAAATATGAATGAGGCAGAGATAGGGAAGGATTTATAGCATTCTTGTACATATAGATGTGCAGCCGGGTGTATGGTTTACAGGTTTACTCTGCTCTGGAAAGATGGCCATGTAGGCACAGCAACAAATTAGGCAATCTTGATGAATTCACACCTGGTCATTAGCACTTGAGTTAAAGCACTGAATAATTGTAATCTTCTGGGTTTCATCAGCGAGGTATTTGGAAGCATATGGTACTTTTTTCCAAAGGCAATAAGTTTGCTGATAAGTTTAGCTACCAGATTGCAAATTCATTGTGCAGATTCTCAGTTGATCTTGTTGTTTTTAATCAATTTACAGTCTTTCTTAAAGATTAGGTAGAATGGTAGTGAATAGAGTGGAGTGCAAACCAGTATGAATATATTAACACCTGTGTATACCGGTAGAGTTTGTTTTTGAAAATGTAGAGTTACAAGAAAATTTGCAAAGAAATGGCAATTTCTGCTTTCCTTAGTGACAATAAGGGGAGTATTAAGCAAAGAGGAAATGTGAATTTTTCCTGCCCTAAGAGCGTGCACCTTGCTTGGCCACCTAGTGTAAGCATGCCACTTTTATACCTGTTACATGACCCGGACTGGGATTTTTTACCATAGGAAGCGAGGAAGTTTTCATCAATTTAATGCATCATTTCCCCAATAGACAAAAGTTGTCAGTTTGAGTCTGACTGTGTTGGCATTAGTGAATGGAAAGTGACAGGACCCTTGACTTAAATTAACTGCGATTTGTTGACTGTTGAAAGCTGGCAGTGGAATTTCAATGGCAATATTCCACGCCACCACCTGAGTGCAATTACCAGATATAATTTCATGGGTAGTTTGACTAATTGCATCAAATTCTCTACAAATGATCATCGAAGAGGAAAGAATAAATTAATGGTAGGCTTGCAGTTGGTTTGTGTGTCTAACAATAAGTTACACAGAAGAAATTTGAGATGTTGAAAGCTTAGCTGGATAGTACAGATGATTGTACAACACTGAAAAAAAAGAGAGGCATCTCCAAACTGAAATTTTTAAATAACCTGGCTAATCATGACTTGTTGAAAAATAAAGATAAAATCACAGCAGAAATACAAAATGAATCTGAAGATGCCTCAGTTGATTCAGGGGCATGCCATAATGGCCAGTAATCAATTGTAGTAGATGGAGTTCCTGAAATGTTTTCATGCTGCTTAAGAAGTAACCTAGGGCAACATCAGTAGAAAAATGTAATCCTTTTTACTATCATTGACATTGTGTTGACCTTTCAAATCACCTCCCCTTCTGGCACAAGCAGTACCCACAAATGTTGGACATCTTACTTTATTGCTTTAAGATTTATGTCCAAGGCTTATTTGATCTTTACATGTTTTTTCCCTGCTATCATTGATGGTCTCTCTAAATAAGTCAAGCTAAATGGATTTATGAATACCGCAGTCTATGGCAAGCCAAAACAATTTTTAAGTCATGGTTCTTATTTAAATACACTCTTTTCATTCAATTTGATGTATAAAGCAGTGTTTTATTGCTTTTGATTGGTCTTATAAAGTTATTCCACAATTAACAATTCTTTCTAATATATTATTATACATTTTTCATGAAATGGACATTTGTAATTCTTAATAAAAAGAATGACACTTAATTCCTGTGTGCCCTATGCACTATGTCTCTCCTTAAATAAGTTCCAACTAAGCTAATTAAGATAAAGTTGAGGCTTATCATTATCAAGTAGCTGGCATCAAAGCTGAAGCAATGAGGGGGAAAATCACATGTTTACAAAAGTCATAAACAGTAGCTCATGTTTTCAATTAATCCATCCAGCTAGGCTGCTTGATTACAATCTAATTGAGTTAATGGAGATTTCAAGATATAAGGATTGAAAAGGTCATAGAAATTGGTTGGTAGTTTGGCCTGTGAAATAAAAATTATCTTTTAAAGTTTAGTGGGCATCATTCCACTTAAGAAAAATGTTCTAATTGCTTCTGCTTTTTATTTGCTTGGTGTGTATAAAAAGATTTGTAGTATTTTTAGGATTGGCGCCTTCTGAAAACCTAAAATCTCCAATTTCTTTTGAGAAGTGGCATGCCAAGGAGGGGGAAAAGTGTGTGCCACACAAGTGGTATAAGGAAGCACCGATAAGAGTTAAATTAGAGAGCCACAGTGGCACAACCAAGCATACGCTTTCAAGTGATTAGGTTACCGTTAAAGCACTTACCTGAGCTGGAGTGTGTTAAAATAATATTGATGCTTATTTCACATATTTGTCGACCATTTGTAGACCAAATATTTTGGTCCATTTGCTTAACATGACGCTAAAAGCTGTGGCATTGAAAGGACTTGACTATTCTGAGGAAGCTTGATTGAGCATGTACTATGCATGTTTGCATGAACTGGACCTGTGTGTATATTCTTGAGTATTCAAACATATCACCGATATCCCTGTTTTCACTGTTGGCCATGTCATAGCCCATTGTCTCTTATGTTAAATGCGGAGTAAGTAAACAGAGGTGGCAAACACAGGGAAGCTAATGTCAACACAATCACTCTTGTGTTCTACAGAAAATCTGGCCGTCCTTTTTCCTTCGCTTGCTCTATCAATTATGGGTCAGTGAGATAGGGAAAACTATTATTTTCAATACAGGAGCTTGTGAGCAAAATTAAATCCTGTTTAAGGTACCAAGCTTTGAGGTTGAAGGAAATATGCTGGTTCTTTATAAATATGTGTTTCTCATAAAACTATTAAGTTACTCTGCAAATATTATAGAAGGGTAAAGTCAGAAAAGAAAACTTCAATTTGCGTTATGTCATTGCTTGCTAAACAATTCATGAGTAGAGGGGTGGTGGTTGCAGGAAAGCACTCCTGTTTCTTCTGGCATCATTAAGGGACCGCCCTGCTGTTCACTGTTTTCTTACAGACCACATTCTGTCACTCATGGCAAAACTTGATGCTGACACTGTAAAAAGAACATGCATTGTATTTGGGGATATCATGTTGCTGTGAATTAGCTCTTCACATAACAACATTGACAACTTTTGAAACCATACTTCAAGAGAGCTTTTTACTTTTCAACCTGTTTAGTTTATTTGACTTTTTTTTTTTTACTTTTTTAAAATTCATTATTATGAATTGATTGTTACAGGCATTTTCTAAATTCAACTTTTGTTTAGTAACTTCATGCTCATACTATGATGATTTTTTTCATGTGATTATGCTGAAATTCTAACTTAAAAATTATCAGGAAGCAACCGTGGTTCTTTATTCCAGATCCATTCTTTCAGTTTATTTCAAGTAGACTAATATGTTAGAGGATTACACAATTTATCTCTCGATCTCTTATCCCCAATGTTCTGACTTTTTGTGATTGATTGCTCTCTCTCACAATTTTGCATAAATATGTTACAGCTATTTAAAAAGATATATATGAAAGAGAAAAAAATCCTATTTTCTTTTTTTTTTTCTCATTTTCATATTTGAGAAAAAATCTAGGTAATAAGTTCTGTTGTTCGGAATAGAAGCTTTAATAACAGTTAACATCTGCTGTCAGATGGGGATACACCCAGTACAAAAGAAATAAATCATGAACAATTAAATTTAAAAAAAAAGATACTTAGACTGATTTCACAAAACTTTATAATATTTTATTTCTGGATAAAAGTCATATTTAAAAACAAAATATTATGTTGTTAATGCAATGCAGCATATCCCTGCACTTCACCACACTGTAAGAAGCACCCATTCCCAGGGGCACCACCTGCTTGGATATCTATTCCTCTGTTTATGGACTGTTGATAACAATAATCATAATATTAACAACAACCAACAACCAACAACCAACAAAAAACAAAAAAACAAAAAAAAAAAAAAATGAAATATACCTTTATGAATGGCTATATTTAAAAGTATCAATGGAAAAGGTTCTATGTATTTGTAAAAATTGTCATCCAACTTTCAGGATGTTTTTACCACTGAGAATCCTAGTGTCCAACATGTTTGTATGTTGTTTATTAATATATAAGTTATATAACATTACATGATGATTAGTGTTTTATGTAGGATTGATTTATGACCAACAATCAAAATTCATGTAAAAATGAAATTCATTTATCAACCACCTTCAGGGACCCTATCCCCATGGATTTCTGTGCCACACCTTTGGTCTTGACTGTCACAGCTTTGGTCTTGACTGTTTATAGTGATCATCAAATGACATAAAAAAATCTGCCTTCATGCATGGCTTTTTAAAAGTATTGATAAAAAATTATGTGGTCAGTAGAGTCATTAGCCCCTAGGGACAGCTCCACTCCCAGTGGTACTAAAATTCCTTTGGGTTTATGCACATCTCTGATGATAGATTAACATGTATCAATCCTTTGAGATTTCATAATCCTCACTCCATTACTCAAGTGAGGAGATAGAAGAAATAAAATTACAAATGCAGGACATATCAGTGGGTGGGATAACACCATCCCCAATATTTGTCACAAAAGTGCAGGAATAAAAATATTTAATTTGATAATAGTGAAAATGTATGTGGACTTAAGCATTTTTCTGAAAGATCGTGCCCGCAATCAAAGTCTCTTCATCAAGACAAAAGTTGAGTTGGTTGAAAATGCATGTCAGGCACCTGATCAGCAGCTTGATACTACTAATGGTTTGGTTAATGGTGGCAATCATGACCATCTACAGTAAATTATGGGTGGGCCAACCATTTGTTCCTTATCTGATTTGGGCCTTCATATTTAGTGCCACAGTAGGGCTTAGCTGAAAGTTGAAATGGGTTTCAAATGGAAAAGTCAGCCACAGTGTAAAACAAAGGACTGACTTGTTTCAGTAGATTTGTTTTGATTGAAATCTGGTTAACGTGGGAATTAGGATGGTATTAAAGAACAAATCACAGCTGTAATTAGTCTGAGAGAGAGAGCGCAAGAAATCTATACGAAGCAATTCTGGTCATTGCAAATACTTATATGGTCTGCTATTTTGTAAGTTGCACTAAATATAAATCAAAGCACTTTCAAAAACCTACTTAGAGCATCTTTAATAGCTCCTTTTGTCATGTTGGTGCACTTGAAGTCTTCCTGATCTTAGTAGTTGTAGAAAAATGCCAGGTGATTGAGAAAAGTGAGTTATTTCCATTATGACAAAATGAGAAATTGTGCAGCTGAAAACTGTGCAGCTGCTGATTTTGTGCTGCTATTATGAAAAGTTGATCACTCCAATTGTGCATTCCACTGGATGAATGAGATTAATGAAGAAAGGCTGGTGAACTTATTGCATTAATAAGTATATAATGTAACAAGCAGATAATATGGATTTGTGGGTTGCTGTCAAAGAAGAAGGTAGAAAAAAATTATAAATATCTATTTTAATTTTTAAAAAATTAACATAGTTGAAATAGAAGAAAAATAACTCAAATTCTTGCTAAAGCACGTCACGATGTGGAAGTCTTTTGCAAAGAAAAGGATATGTATTGGGTATATCCTGAAAATGCTTTAAGAATTTTTGTCAGTGTATAATTGTTAATGTATAATTAAATCATTATATCTGACAATTTGGGCCCTGTTGCTGACAAAGAAAAAGATTGTGGATTTATGAAATTGTGAATTGGCTTGTAAACAATTCCAGCATGCCTTCTTACCAAAGGTTGCTCATTCACTATTATCGGGATTTAATACATCATGCAGTGGACATAACCAGTAAAATAAATTTTAAAAAATCATATCAGAATTGAATGTGTGCACATCTCTTTACTTAAGCGTTTATCTTTGACAATATAAGATAAACCATCAGCCTGTCAATTCTTATCCCCAGCCTTTCTCTATGAAGTGTCCTATCCCCCTATAATCAGAACTTGTTATCTCCACCTACTGGTAACCTTGAGGTAGTTCTGCCAGCCTTGGAATGTGCCATCATTTGCTGCCTGATGTATATATTTACAGGAGTCAGTAGCTCTCCCTACTAATCGGGGAAAATTAATGTGTATTATCATGTCCATGCAAATATGGCTTGTATTGAGATATCACCTGAGGAGAGGCAACAGAAGCTTAAGGCTGTTACAGGGGAGGGACCATGGGACTGGCATTCAGCCATGTTCAAACAAAAATGCACAGTGCAGAATTTGCACAAATTATGAAAGATTTGTGAAAAATTGTATGTCAAATTATCGTTTGCTGTGTTCAATGAGATTCTTAAATTGCTTGGTTTACATTTGGTAAGGTCTGCCTCAGCACTTGGCGAGAACACTGCTGGTATGGGCCTTGTTGCTGAGTTTTTTGTTCAGTGAATATGAAGACCTTTTCACTCTGAGACAGTTCAGACCACTTGACTGATCACCCCAAGAAAGAGAGAGATGGATTTATGTCTGTTAGTGTATCTTTTAGAAATGATATACAGGATTTATGGAGTAGTTTTTCTCAAGGCTTCTGTTATTTAAAGATGGTAGAAATATCAGTATATCATATGGGTTAAAGAAATTCATTGAGGTTACTTTCTAGGCCTCATTCTCACAGGGATTTTTAAATGTTGAGTGATGGATCTTGTTGCTTTTAGTCAAAATATATCCCTGTCTGTCAGGATTAAAAGTTTATTGTGGGATTAAAGATTAAAGAACATTATAAGTTCATTCGTAGGGGGGAAAGAATGCAAGGATTTTGTTAAACTGGTAGAAATTTACCATATCAAGTTGCTGGCATGCATGTTGAAATCTGCAGGTGAGGTGAAAGATTTTCGCAAAGCTATAAGATACCAAGATATTTTTGTTTGGCAACAAAAGAAATTAGCAGAGAGGTCATGAGTGCTAAAATGTATGGAGTGAGTTCATTTGATGTGTAAGGTGGGTGGAAGGGAAAGATGGGAGATATTTTTTCAAGTTTTGTCTTTGGTTAGATATTTTATGCCCAATAAAGATGTTCATATTTGTTTATTTCAATTTATAGTTTCTGACTGCAAATTTCCCAAATTTGAGTTGGGATTTTATTCAAAAACCATCTGAGGCCCTCATTATTCACCAGCCTCCCCCATTTAAAAATCTTAAAAATGGACTGGTGGTGACAGGTTTGTAAAGAACAGATATTAATTTGACAGTAAGGAGTGGATCTTCCAGTGATACTTGATACCCAGTACAATAAGAAGTAACAGCTAATAATGCTGCTTTGGGGAGTGGGAGGGACATCGCACAAACTTGCATTCTTTACAGTATGCGGGTGCTAGTCAATTGCAAATGTGTGATTTGAGGACTGAAATAATGGAAGTCCTTGTAGCATAGTTTAAAGTATGCGTGATGTTTTGAGGCAGCTCTTGAAATTAGATGATTTTTGTACAGGCAATTTGAAAAAAGAACTCCCCCCTCCCTTTTAATTCCCTATCTAATTTTTCCTTTGTTTTCTATTTTACTCTTCTGATTTCAATTTTTTTCCATGCAGCATTTACGTCAGAATGTACAGCAATTTAAACAGATTTAAAGAAATATTACAGACCAATGTAACTCCCTTCCTTCAATATATGAAGTGATTTATCTAAATGTTTGAGTTTCTTAGCAAATGCTGAAATGTCAATGAATCTGTAGTGTCTTTTACATTTAATATAAAAAGCTTATCATGCAATTCATCTCCTTTAGCTGCAAGATTAACCTATAACTGTCTGACAGTGTGTACCGGGCTAGCAATATTTCAGTCCTTTTCATTGGTCTTTTTTAAACAATGTTATTTTAAGTAAGATATTATGCACCCCAGCATCCAAGTATGTAGATAATGGATTTGATAAGCTGGGGAAATCATAAATCGGACTCAGTCAGGCGAATTTACCAACTGCAGTTCATGATATATGAACATTCAACTCCATCCTTGATACAACATCTTGATTTGGTTAAGCCCATGTCAAGGAACAAATAAAAAGCTCTCTGTTTTTTTTTTTTTATATAATGATGCTTTGAGAAAATTGTTGAGTTATGTATATTGACCATTTATAAAAATCTGATGTCTAAGGTAGTATCGTAATAATTGCTTAAGGTTTAGCTGATACAATACAGGGCCGTAGCCTGAGCAAAATGCCAGGGGGGGCAGTAAGCGGACACGAGGGGGCGAAGCCCACGGTGGGGGAGGGTGTGGGAGGTGGATGATTGTCTAGTGGCCATGAGTGCATTTTCTCACAGAATTGATACCAACTTTGCAATTTTTTTTCCACCTTTGCGATTATTTTTTTTGCACCTCAAATCCCAGGGGGGGCAGCTGCCCCCCCTGCCCCCCCGGAGGCTACAGCCCTGCATAAAGCTATTAATATTAATATTAAGCTTCTCTCATTACATTGGTCATCTTAAAGGCTTATAACATTTACTTTCATGATTGCAGAAAATATATTTTATGGCATGCATAGCTGAGGTTAACACTGTTTGTATGGCATTTCATTGCTAAAATAGTATCAAGTAGGTTGTATATTTTCATGATGTTTAATTGATAAGCCAAGTTTTATGAATAATACAAAGCACATCTGAAAAAAAAAATAGAAGACCAAGGGGTGGTGAAACTTATCTTATTACATTATGGTATTATACATTGTGAAATCATCAATAAATAATCCTAGTCTAGAAGATTTGAAGTGAGATGAAAAGTATTTAAGAACAATTCCCAAAACTTTATTTTTAACCATTGGTGTCTGACCACTGGCAGTAGTCAGGAGTGGCACAAACAAAACCACTAAAATACCAAACACTCTTCAGATGTTTTTTTTTTTTTTTTTTTTTTTTTTTGTAATAATTTTCTAACACAATTTTCTTATCTGTATGGGTTTTGCCTGGTTCAAGTTTGAATGGTTACTACTGATAAAAAAAAGTGCACATATTTTAATTTTTCAGCAATGAAGTAATCTTTTAGTAATTCTGTATTTTGTTTTTGCTTCAGGGACCTGAGTGTTAATCAGATCACCAGACTTCCTGACTTTGCTTTCTCTCAGTATAAATTCTTGGAGGAGCTGTAAGTATGAATACATTTTAAACAGCAAAGTAAAAATGGTCTTAGACCCCATTCCCACAGATTTTAGATCGATCTATCCCTGTAGGGAGTCTCACTAGATTACTGTCAGCTTAGCCAGCTTAAGTGTCTGTTCTGCCTACTAAAAGTTGTAAGGGGCTAATTAACTGTTGTGCACGCTTGGCTGATTGCAATTTAGCGTGAACCCCGAGGGAGTTAGGTTGATCCACAAAGTTGGAAAAGCACACTGCGATCCTGAATCAGCGGTTGAACAGTGATGACATGAAGTCTTTTTTCATGAGTTATATGCCAAAAAGTGGGAAGCGGATATAGCTAATTTACTTAGGCTCCGTTCATATGGAAAATCTATTTTCTAAAAATCTAAAAATCTATTTTTGGTATCTTGTGATCACAGTCTGTGCCCTGGATACCCCGCGGCAGAGTAGTATCTCTAAGCTGTGAAGTTCATCAGTTTAGTTGTGACAACTCAAGCATGCAGACCCGTAATATGGCTAGTGGTAGTGCAAAACAAGTTGGAGTAACTTTCTACTGCGCATGCGTCAAGGTATCAGAATCTCCTCCGAGTGCAGCCGAGAATTAATTACAGCTTTGGAAGTAACTCGCTCGCGCTGCCAGTAATTACGCTGCGGGGTATCCAGGGCACAGACCGTGATCGCAAGATACCGAAAATAGATTTTTAGAAAATAGATTTTCCATGTGAACGGAGCCTTAGTCTCATTTAATATTCATGTGACTGGGTCATAACGTTATCAATGGAAATCTCTAGTATTTACGCCGAATAAGGAAACGAAACTACTTGCCAGCTGTGGTCTCGCTGTCGTGTGTGTCTGAAAGAAACGAAACAGGCTTGGGTCATAACATCTGTGATTACACGCTCAGATGATAGGATTTCCTTACACGTTGTTTTATGAAAAGCAGAGTGTATTTCAGGTATTAAAATCCCGAAATTGAAAGATTTGTATAGTTCAGGTGTATGGGAGATAATTCTTTGTACTGAAGTTGAAAGCAGAAACGATGGTATAATGCACAACAAACCTGCTTTCTTCACCCATCAAGATTTGCGACAAAGAGTTTTATTCAGATTTATGACAAGAACTTTTAGATCAATGTCACTATTTTAATCCATGTTTTAGCAATTATAGTTATACAGAAAGTTTTGTTTTTATTATGAATTGTGAATACCAATTTTTATTAGCTAAGACAGTTTTTGAAATGTTTAAAAGACGGAAATCTTTTTAACTGTGTCCCATAAGCCAAATATGGCTGGGTATTCTTTTAATTAGTAGTTTATTTTATGTTTTTTTTTGTATTTTATGGTTTAAGAATATGCGACACTTTAATAAATACAGTAAATAAATATATATATATAAAGTTTAAAATTCAACAGCACATTTTTTGCATGTGGGCGATTTCAGTTACAGAAGTTTTAGATCTACTGATACTAAAATCTATTTGAAGAATTCAAGAATATCTTCTACAAGTTATCTTTTTTTATACTATTGCCAACTAAATTGAAAAAGTAGTGTAATTTAACTTTATTGCCAAATAATGAGACAATTCAAAATCTGAATTGAACATATATTTTTATTTCCTTGCTGAAAAATAAAACATTCAAATGGTATGTTCTATTAAGAAACCAGGTTTGAAACGTGTGTCTTCTGTCATCTTTGCCAATCACTCTTTTTGTGAGGCAGGCACTGTCTGAGATTTGTTTGCAAATGCTTCATGCTGAACACTGAAGGCACCTGAACCAACACCCAGCCTTACAATTATTGCATTATGTTTGCATTCCTATCAGTTGTAGTCTGACACCATATGAACCAACAGTTTGTTATTATTACAACTGGGATGCAAGAATTCTGTGGAGTACTGGGAAGAGAATATAGAACTGTAGAAACAATTAGTTGTTTAATTAAACTTGATGCAACATGTTTTGTTGTGCTGATTTGGTCTCTTAATTGCTTGATGTTAGGTCTCTTTTTTTGTACAAAAACTTGGTGTGTATGTGTTTTGTAGATTTTTTTTGGCCAAAATAAACCTTGAAGAGGCCCAGTAGGGCTGAAAAATCTTGAAACGAATTTCAGTGTTTTATATATATATATATATATATATATATATATATATATATATATATATATATATATATATATATATATATGCTCAGATAAGTTTGGATGTCAGTCTGACAATTGTGCTTTCAGATCGGGTTCAGTTAGATTACTGTAAATAGGAATTAAGGGGATGGGTTATAGTGGAAATTGTTCTGATACAGATGTTAAGTTGTTGGTGCTTTATTAACAGCTTGAAAATATCCATTTCTCAAGTTGACAACAACTTTTAATTGTTAGTGTTCATGTGAACATTTTAGTATTGACCTATAGACTGATACTGGTAAACCCCATGCAGAGTAGCCTCCTATTAAGGGACCATTCAGATCAAGAAGAGCCGAGTGCTAGTAAGGCTGCGACCTAAACATGGCGGACCTACATGAAAGGAAGACCACATATCCTGTAATGGTCTCTCTGCCTCTCACATGCCTCCCCACGCGTTGTCCTTTGACCGGTTGAATTGAGCCGAGATTTAATTACTGTGCCCCTGTAGGGACGACATGTGGGGAGGCGTGTGAGAGGCAGAAAGACCATTACAGGATTAGCGGTTTTCCTTTCATGTAGGTCCGCCATATTTAGGTCGCGACCTTACTAGCACTCAGCTCTTCTCAATCTGAATGGTCCCTTAGTTTACATGGTTATCACCCTTACAAGTATTTTTCAAAAGTTAGTAGTATGCCAGTTTTATAGATTTTAAGGATCCTGAAAGTATGTTTTTTCCCCCAAGCCTTTTTTAATTGAAATTGGCAAAATTATATTTATATTCAAAACCAGTAGAAATGCATACTGTATAATATATAATATACTTATATGGAAATGGGATGGTGAGTTCATTTGGTTTACCTTCAAAGTGCTAGCATTGTATGTTTTCAAACTTAGGTGAACCAAAGAATTATCACCTTTATGTTGCTTTCTTTTGACTTAAGGGAATCAAAATGTTTGCATGCCATGGGTTTTAGCAAGGGCATATGCAGTTTGCTTGATATTATGATAACATACTGGCCATTTGAACTGATGGGCTGCCATTTATTAAAGAATTGTTCAGCTTTAGAACTTGTGTTGTTATCACATTTTTGCAATTTTTTCCATTTGGCAAGAATGTGACATTTCTAACAAGATTAAAATCTTATGATGAGAGTCTTTTCAAGCAAATTTAAACCCTAGTCAAATGCCATGGTGCATTCTTTTTTTTCTGTCTTTGCCAAAACAAAGCAAACAAATAGCTGGGAGTGGTATTTAAATGCAATTTGGACCAAATTAGGAAAGTTGGGTTCATGTGGAATGATCGATATTTACTCTCAGCAGATCATTAGTTTGAGAAAACACAAATTTAGTCAAGATAACTATAACACTTTAATTTTATTTACATAATATCAATACTTGCATATGCATGAGACATTACTATGCAAAGCATTGGCTCAAACATAAAATGTTTTATTAAATGTGATTTTGTTTGATCAAATGTAAAAACATAAATAGCCAAATTATCTGCTAATGTAGAATGAATTATCAAGAAGTATACCCGTAGTAATGTTTTTTTTTCTTAATTCTCATTTCAGTCGATTGGATGGCAACTGTTTGTCTTGGTTGCCAGCTCAGGCTTTTACTGGGATACTGCACCTGAAAACTCTGTAAGTTTCATGTAAGATAATTTTTAATATTTTGCAGAATTTGATAAATTGTTGTAGGATTAAAATTCATCATCATCTTAATTACTGTTTCCCCTTCTCCTGATCATGAATGAGGGAGGGGGATACATTTGATGGTAAAATTACTTAATATACAGGTGGGATTGTCACTAGACAGTTATCTAATCTTATATCTTATGTTAATATTTATGATAATAGCTATTAGATAAAGATAATATATAATATTGAATTTTGTCCAGGCATCTTCAAGGCAACCAGTTCACTGATGTCCCTAGCAAAGCTTTGGAAAGCCTGTACTTTTTACAACAACTGTAAGTACTTTACTTTTGGTAACAGAATAAGGATCAAAAAGAGCTTTGATTTATATTACATTTATAGAAGGGCATGCTGTTGTGATTTAAAAGAACAGGATTTTCTGAATGATAACAGATGCTGAAAAATAATTCAAAATTAAAATAAATTGATCAGATTACAAGGTCATGATACTTACACTGTGAACGTGTATGTTTTTGACACAAAGACAACTGTAATTGAGAAGGTTATCTTGTAAATGATTTAAGGTCAGGAACTGTTGTTGATTCAGATGTGAGAAAATAGTAAGTTTCCTTTTTTGATACAGCTTTAGGCTGGCATCATGTATTTCATCTGATGTTCCCACAAAACAAGTGGTCATGTAATTACCCTCTGAGATAAATATATGTAGCTTCTTGATTCAAGTATGGCTATGTGAAAGACCAAAAGGAAATACTCCCAGAATTATAACCTGCACTGTATTTACAGTTTTTTTGTTTTTGTTCTTTGGCAAAACAAGAATAAAGTGCAGTTTTTTCCATATCAAAACCACTTTTCTTATGCCCGCAGCCAGTAAATTTAGTTTGGACCAGTAGATTTTTCAGAATGTGTGAATTTAGTGGTCCCACATGGGCATTAGATTTTTTCTATATGTTTTCAAAAGAGCTTTCAATTTGATTAAGTTAAAGTTAAAGCCAAAGACTACATAACGATTATGACATAACTTCATTATGTCATTACACCCACCTAACTGTGACACTGACAAGGTGCATTTTTCCTATGTTATTTATTTTCTTTAGAATGGTTTTATATTATAAGTTATTACATTTTAGATACAGACACTGTATGTGTCTATATATGCTCTGATCACTGCCTCTGTTTGTGTATTCGCCATTACCAGATGTATAGTTGCCATAAAAAAAATCAGTCTGTATAAGTACCAAACTATATTTTCTTTTGCTTTTGATTAACTGAGTAGTTTTGGTTTTTTAAAGTAAAAGCAAACAGCATGATTGGGTTTTTTTTTATAATGATTTTTTTTTTATTTGGTAAATATTGTTGCAGTGTCTTTTAAAATTTGGTGTGTGTATATTTGTTGACTTTGCTGTCTAGTTACTGTGCCTATTTTCACCTTCCCGGCGCCATGATATTAATAAGGTTTGGAAAATGTGTAGAATTCTTTAAATGTTGTCTCAAGGAACTACAATAGTGCACAGCACGGATTTTTGTTAGGGATATATCAATTTATAATGAATGGTTAAAACATTTGTTAAAAGCTTAGTAACTGTTTAAGGTCTGATTTTGGACATAAATTTTCTTTTTTACAAAAATAATGATAAGCATAGATGATATGATATATAGATGCATTGATTGTTAATAGTTCAGATGAGGCTGACTCATTCCATTTCTGTATCTGCAAGCCAATAATTTTTCTTATTTCAGACATTTGGATGCCAACCAAATTCTCACTGTTCCTGCAGACGCCTTCTATAACATGCCATACCTAAAGCAGTTGTGGTTGGATGCTAATGAATTGACAGCTGTCCCTAGAGAGGCACTCAGCAGACTTCCAGCTCTGGAGGCACTGTGAGTTCCAAACAATAACCAAATGGACAAAGTTAATGTTAATTGCAGAAATTTAGACTATTGGTAGTACATCATTTCAATATTTTTGTTTTTCAGCTTTTTCTTATTTTCAAGTTTCTTTTCAATGGCAATTAGGAGAAAATCTTAGTCACAAAATAATTACATTAATTGTTTATTTGTTTAATTTTTTCTTTGTAGACAACTTTTATTATAGGTTATATATGAAATTTTAGATAGCACGATTTGCATTTTAATTGTACTTTTTGCATATTCATCCACCTTGGTATAATATTTTGTAAAAGAAGAAAAAGAGAAAGGAAGAAAAGGAAAGAAATTCCATCTTGGCCATCAAGTTGTTAGTTGTAGGCCTGCAGGCCTAAAAGGCAGTACTGAAGACAGGCCGTGACAAGGGGTTGGACACATTAGTTTTCATCTAGGCTATAACTTGTCAGTCTTGGTAACATTTCTAAGGCTTGGGAGTTTCGGAAGGAAATCCATGTCATCCACTGCCTTCCAGTATGAACAACCAGTCACACATATTTAGTGACTTTACTTAGGAAAAAAACATGAAACAGCTACTCTTGTAGATCACAGCATCATCAAGCATTCGGCCTGAAATTTGAAACATAGCTGTTTCCTAAAAATTATTATCACTAAAACATTACTAAATAGAAATCCTTAGAACCACAAGCAGTCTACTAGATAAATTCCCATACTCCAAGAAGAAATTGTCTGTCTCTCATTTTATTTATAAAATTGGAAGTAAATATTATATTGCACCGAATAAAACATTTTTGTAATTTTCTTATGTGAAGTTGTGGGTAAAGGTACACCTTACCTCACACCTTTATGGAAGAATTACAAATGATTTAAACATGGTGATGCATAGAATCATCTTCTAGTAAATGTTATACTGAGGAAAACAGCTGTTCTGACTAAAGACAAGTTTTAACCAAGATAATGTTACTTTAGCAAAATTTATTGGGTGATTATGCAGACATTTTACATTAATTTATCTGGCACCAAACCAGATTCTTAAAAAAATTATCATTTGTAGTCATTGGCAGATTTGTTTTTAGACTTATATCTACTATAGAAAAATGATTTTTACTTGTAAAAAAGCTCCAAGAAGCTGATCCCTTTTAAAGATTGATGAAGAGAATAAGATTAGATAAAAACGTATTTATTGTACTTGAAAAGAAACCTACGGACTATTACAAAGGGGCATCAAGTGCCAATAAGCAATCATGGAAATTTTCCAGCAAAGATTTTGGCCTATTGAAAGGTCAGAATGGACATATTTTATATTTGTTCAGTTCTATTATTAGAAATTTGGTGAGGAATAGAAGGGGTAGATGGAATTTTCTGCTGCATTCTGACTTCCTGTTCACTTCTCTGATAAGGAAAAACATGCTAGATGATATAATTAATGTTATTCAATGTTCTGAAGTGTTAATCATATTTATATTAATACCAACCTTAATGTGACATCTGTCTGGTTTCAGGACATTAGCTGTTAACAATATCACTCAGGTAGAGGCTCACTCTTTTGCCAATAACAGGAAACTGGTTGTATTGTAAGTGTTAATTAGCTGCCTGCCTATTTACGTAGTTTCATGAAGTGTCATTAATTAGTACATATACATTTGATTTTTTTGTAATTTATACAGCATGTGATGTAGCAGAATTACTTTTAACAGTATGGATATGATTGTTGGAACTCCTTCCATGCTTTTTACATGAAGGCGCTTATCACACTCATGCTTTTCATTATCCATATTCAAACTTGAAACATTGATTCTGATGTTGAAGTCTGGAAAATAAAAGCTTTTGAGTAAAATATGTATGAAACTTTCATAAAACACTGGTTGAAAAACATGTCAATTAGCATTCAATTAATAGATTTGTTGATTTAAAAAAGTAGCAGTTTTTTTTAGTCAATATGAAGATTGATTAACTAATTTTTTTCCAGTGACTGTTAATTATAGGATTTATATCCATGCAAAATATACTTAAAACACCTTATATTACATCCGATACTTACTAAGTTCATAGATGTACACTTCTGTGCTAAGTTGCAGTCTGTGGTCAAGAGATGTTCATCAGAAGTAGCCTTGGCATATTATTGCAACCATAATTCAACAGAAAGGACATTTAATCTGATATTTCAGATTGCTGCACACAAATAACATAGGTATAATAGATGAAAAGGCATTTGGAGGATTAGCAGATTTGAAAACGCTGTAAGTGTGTGAACGTCATTAATCATCCCACTTTTATGTGCAGCCATAGTAGTGGCTGCACATATAACAGTTGCCATTTTGATGGAGATTTTAAAAAAATTTTCCCTGCTTTGAAACCTTGCTTTTGAGATATTAGGGGGAAAGGGACATTTCCTTTTGCCTAAAATAGGCTGGGGTCATCTGTGTTACTGATATACTATGTTTGAAAAACAACACTGGTTAGCAAAAATGTAATTTTTAGCAAGTATCAATCTGTGTTGAAGTCTTTTTCTGTGTTAGAAACTTCAGTGTTTTACAGGACTGTTGTTTAAACTGAAAAATGTTGTTATCCATTTTTGATGTAGGTAATATACTGGGCTGTGCATTTGTCAGCTAAATTCAGCTGGTTTTTGCACAGCATGGAATTAATCATTAAGTCACATTTATCAAACTAAAAAAGTTAACATTTATACCTTGAAAAAGAAAGTTAACATTTATACCTTGAAACAATTCTTAAAATTTGGATGTTTTTTTTTTTTTTTTGAGGGGGGAGGGGTTAACATTTTAATTTTGAAGGCTTTACTGTTGATATCTTGTATACTCTGCAGGGAGCTGCAGAACAATAAGTTGAAGAGTGTCCCCATGGCCTTGAGGGATCTGCCACAGTTGACAGAACTGTAAGTAAATCTGTGAAAGAGCTTTAGATTTGTGAATCACATTATGCAGTAATTCATATATCAAAGAAAAACTTTTGAAAAAAATTTGAATACATTACTAAGAGAAATGATTGAGTCTGTGAGTATTAATTTTATAATTTTAAAGAAACCTTGGATTTTTTACTTTTAATTACTGTTTATTACAATTAAGTTAGTTTAGCTCTTATTTATATAAAATATATCTTAACCATTTTTATCTATAAACTTCTTTGTATTTTATGTTGTACAGTCTATTGAACATTTTATGGATTTTAGACTTGAAATAAATATATTATTATTATTATTATTAATCACATTGTAAACATAACATGTGTACGGTGTGTATGTACTTTTTAGCCACACCTTCCTGTGTTTGAAAGTGGTATATCTAATATAACCAGGAAATTAAAAAAGAAAGCAAGATTAGTGCATGATAATTTTTCTAGAGATCTTAGTGGGAACAAAATCAACCATATTCCTGATGGAGCTTTTACATCAAATAAGGAGTTGAAGCTGATCCACCTGTCTGGCAACCCTATTCTTTCTCTAGGAACATTTGCATTTACTCAGCTGCCATATTTGGAAAAACTGTACGTATACAATTGCTCATGTTATGCCATTGACAAAAATGAAAAAATTTAATAAGTTTAAAAGTTTACTCTTGAATAATATTTTTAATAAATCAAATAAATGTTATACTTATTAGTACATTTATTTTCCATCGCAATCTCAAAATATTTAAAATTAAAACTGTTGTGAAGGGAACTTTCTCCTTCACCTGTTTTGACAATTTTACACAATAAACTTCTTAAATCTTTGAAAAAAAATTGGGTGCAATTCTCAAGACTTTCAATTTAATTACAGAGTAATTGCCCATATTAAAGAACAGAAGGAGTTTCCATCTTTACAAGGCACTGGGAAGATCAATACCTTGAAGCTCAGTGGAGGAAGAATTGACAAGGTTCCTGAAAACCTTTGTGATTTGATTCCTGGCCTGACATCTCTGTAAGTATGTTTTACACACACACACACACACACACACACACACACACACACACACACCTAGACGTTTAACAGTGCACTAATTGAACTACATTTTCTTCATGATAGACGTACATAACAACAAATAATTGACAAACTGTAATTTCAGTATCTAAGCACCTATGACTTTTAGAATTGGACATCTATTATTCTCAAACAGATGTGAATCTAATGAAAATGCAAGTTTGATGATCATCTTTCTTCCAGAGATCTGCATTCAAACAAGATCAAAAATTTACCAGACCTCTCCAGTTGTACAAAACTGAAGATTCTGTGAGTAATGTGTTACAGCCGACCAAAGTTAAAAGATTGGCATTTTTGCCAATATGGTTTGTTAATCAGTACATGTAGGTTGACAATTAGAAACAGCAAAATTCATCAAAAATAAGTTAGTTTCATATTCCGGTTTAGGTGTTTTACAAGTATTTATGATTAAAGTAAGATGTTTAATGATTGAATTGTTTTCCAAAGACAAGTAGATTTATTAGATATATTTTATTTCCAGGAACTTTGCTGAAAATGAAATAAGCAGTTTGGAAAGCACACCCTTCAGGAATCTGCATAAGTTGACAGACCTTAACATCTCAAACAATTTACTCACAGAGCTACAGTTTGACGCTTTTCATGGACTACAGAGCCTGCTGTATTTGTAAGTAACATCTTAGCAAGTATAATCTGTGTACTGAGTCTGTAAGTGTTGGTGAAGTTGTAATTTTTTTTCTTGTAGAGCACAATATTTGTTTTAAAAAGCTCAGGATTTTTTGTTTTTGATAATTAATCAGTAATCCTGAACTACTGAATTATGATCATACTCGGAGAAAAGTGAACCTTTTGAATTAAAAAAAGATTATTTGAACCCATGAAATGGTTATTTTTTCTTTAAGGGAATTACAAAACAACCAGCTGAGCAATATTGACAGAGATGCCTTTGGCAGTCTGACTTCTCTACAGGATCTGTATGTATCTTAGCATTCATGAACATTTTTTGAATATGGCTTATACATTATGTATTATCTGAAACTAACATGACTACTATGAAGATGTTAAACGTAGATTGTACTCCTACAGTTCATGATATAGCTATATTGGTATGTGAAAGAAGGCAGAATAATTTTTATAAAAATTAATTCTATTTTTTATTTTATATGAGCATGCCATTTATTGTGAGGAATGTCTATCATTCCCATCTGAAATAGTTGATAAATGTTAGTGTTATTCTTATTAACACATCCACACATGATGAATGTCATTCTGTTAATTCAGAAACCTAGCAAACAACCACATCCCCTCCCTCCCTACCAAGGGCTTAGTCAATCTTAGAAGTCTGAAGATAGACCAGAACTATGAGATGCGAGCATTTCCTTCAGTTGTGCAGTTCCCAGTTATTCAAAGTGTTCAAACTTCCTACACTTACCACTGCTGCCATTTCATGAATGAGGTGAGGTGGAATGTTTAATAAATAGATAAATTGTTTTAACATTCAATTTCCATGTTGACTGTTATTCATTAAGTACATAAAAATATTATCTGGCATTTGAATGTACTTTGTTGAGGTTTCTCCTCATGTTGCACCAGCACTACAGTGAATAGAGCCACCGGTATAGTACGAGAAATTCAAGAATGTATGTCTTTGACCATGTATTGATACGTATTTATTTACTTTTAAGGTATTATATAGATTTTGCACATTATGTTTTCTAGGGGAAATTCCTGGTGTCATCAGATTTGTACGTACCAGTGACTATGAACTGGACAGACTTGTCTGGTATGTCAGAACAGTGACCTCTTACATGGATTTATTAATGAAACATGATTCATGGCATTATATCTGTAAACTGTTTGGAAGAAAAAATTGGCTTATGAATGGTCTTGAGTTGCATTTGAACAGTGATACCAAAAAGGAGAGATATGGCTTATTAGACCAAAATATCCCATGACACTTGCTGACAGTGTGTACAGGTTTTGGATGTGTCACATAGAGCTATGATTTAGGTGGTAGAGTTTTTTCTTAGATCGCAGAACAAGATAAGTGTTTGAAACTTAGAAAAATAAATCAGATTGCTGTAATTTCCATGAGCCTAAGAAAAATAAAATAAATTGCTTAAAACACTTCCTTCAGTATCTTTCTTTTATCTTTTATACTTTATATTTTAAACTTTTTATACAGATTTTCCATCTAATCCAATGTACTCGGGTGAGGCACGGGACAGAGACAGGAGATCACTTGCTATAAGCAGGAAAGTACCAGTCCAGTGCACACCTGAACCAGGTAAGGCAAATTCATTTGACACTTGAAGAAAAGTTAGATTGCTTCTTCAAAAGACGTCATCACTCACAGGTAGGTGTATTGCAACCAATGCCCCACAGTGTTAAAAAATACTGCTTTTTTAATGTGTTAAATTAGTCCTTGCACTATACACCCATGTCACACAGTTTCCCCCTTCAAGTTAAATAGAATAAATATGATTATTCATATAGATCATGTTGATTACTAACTGACCAATGTTGACTGGATATCTTCAGGTCCCCTGATGCCTTGTAACAATTTAATTGAGTGGTGGTCCCTGAGGGTTGGTGTGTGGCTGATTTTCCTGGTTGGAGCTGTGGGCTGTGCTTGTATTATCCTGGTCACCGTGGCCCAGAAGAGAAAGGTGGACACAAACAAGTTCTTGGTGTGTAATTTAGCTTGCGGTAACCTGTGTGTGGCTGTTTATCTGGGATTGTTGACCTCTGTGGATGCAAGCACAATAGGTAGATATATAGAGCTGAATATCTTGTATCTAAAGCTATTTCAGGCAGAACTGTGAAAATTGTCTGTGATATTAAGAAAAATTGAGTTGATCAATTTTAATATCCAATTTTTTTTGAAGGGGGGGTACTGAGAGTTTTCTGTCTGAAAATGATCACGTGTGAGTTGAATACTCTGGCAATGATGAAATGGTCAAATTTATATTGTGTTTCAAGATTTAATATGTTTTCAGTAGTGGTAAAATGCATTGTCTATTTTACTTTAACACTTATAAGGTATACATAGAATTTGAGAAATTACTTTGATACTTCAATATGAACGCTACTATAAAATTATAATAGAAAGTAAAAAATAGTGCTATATAAAAGTGCTATAATCATTACTAACAGGTATGATGACTAAAATTGTTGATATTATTGATCAGGTCAGTTTGAGTCTAGTGCCATAGGCTGGCAGTTTGGTTTGGGATGTAAGGCAAGTGGCTTTCTGGCAGTGTTTGGCACTCAACTCTCTGTCTTCACATTACTGTTGATCACAGTAGAAAGAGTGTATGCTATTATCCATGCTGCAGACTTGCAGAAAAGAGTCCCTCTCAGGCATGCAGGTTGGTTTAAATCCCCAATTTATACTCAGAGGCAGCTTGTAAAATGTTCGTGACTATTTTCCATTAAACAAAATTGTATTTAGTTTGTAAAATATAGATTTTTTATCTTCCACTTTATTGCAAGTAAAAAAAAAAATAAAATAACTTAGAGTACACCAGCATATGGCTACAAAAACTTAGTGAAAACATTATTGATATTAGTAGAAATACCCAAATATCAAAAGATGATAGCAAGTTTGCTTTATTTCAGCTTGTCTTGTGTCATTTATATGGTTGGTTGCTGTGCTGTTTGCTTCTCTGCCTTTGATTCATGTCAGCAGCTACTCCAAATATGCCATCTGCCTGCCCATGGAGATAGGAGATGTAGCCTCAAAAGGTAACACCAGAGCAGTTCCTTGGTTTTTGAGAAAGTGAATTTCATAATAATATAGAACATAAAGTCAAGAATAAGATTTAGTTTTTAAAATTGGGTCTTTTTTTTTTAGTTAAGAAGATGTTTAAATAATAAAGTGTGAAAGGGTGGATTAAGTTCATTCAGTTGCATCTTTCATATCAGATGTGGTTTTGATGAAAGTTACTTAACTAATTTATGATGATGTTATATTTTTTTCAGTGTATGTATGCATTTTGGTGGCTATTGATGGTGCTGTGTTCATGATCATGATTGCATGCTACATCCAAATCTGTGTTTCACTCAAAGGCACAGGTCTAGTTAGTTTACATGACTCCAGAGTAACTAAAAGGATGGCTGTTCTCATCTTTACGGACTTGATCTGTTGGCTGCCCATCATGATCCTTACCCTGGCAGCAGCTGGATTTGGACATGTCCTCATTGGTGCTACAGCAACCAAAGTGATGGCATTGTTTGTGTTCCCCCTGAATTGCTGTGCCAACCCACTCCTGTACATTACACTGACCAAGCAGTTCAGGCTGGACTGCATTAGTGTGTGTGGCAAGAAGAGGAATCATTACACGGACACTGAAGATTTTATCAGGGTCAACAAAACGTGTAACTTAAAGGACTATGTTGAGGATGGTTCAAATACTACGAGATTGGAGCCTGATTCTGTGATGAAAATGAGAGTCAGTTGCTTCCATGACATGTCAGAAATAGATCATCTTCAGATTAGAGATTTAGATGAGGATAGTGGGTGGGATGATGACTTACACCAGTGTTCAGACCATACTTATTATCACATTAGCAATGCACGTGAATGTTTCAACTCATTTCCAAAATCTGAAGTTCACAGTTGCAGAACTCATGCTGCAAGTAAGTGCTGCAACAAGGATAACTATCCTGCCAGAGGAGGAACTCCGTATGAAGAGACCATCCCCTTGAAAGAGCTTAATTACAGCCAAATTCCAAATTCAGATTCAGACCTTTGGGAGAGGAGACATGCCTCTAGCAGATTCCCCATTGGTGGGAACAGATATGAGAAATGTTGGCAAAGGAAAATTGAAGTTCAGATGAATCCATATGATGGAGACAACAAAGATGAACAAAATTATGTTCCAATGTTAGATAGTACCAGCATGCTAAATGGAGACGGACATTCACTGTATCTGAATTTCCCAAACAAAGAGACAGAGTACTTATCTCGTGAAAGTCATAATGTTTCCCTTTGTGAAGGCAAACCACCTGAATGCTTAAGTAAAACTATTCATCCCAGTCACATGACACCATTTAATGTTGGTTTGTATCCCCCCAAGAAACAACAGGCATTGTCCCCAAACTACCTCCTGTACGACCCAGAACACAACGAAACACAGGATCAAATATCACCTCTTCAATCTCATCCAAAGTCCATCTCTAGACAGTATATGAATATTGGAAAGTATCCCCTTGATGTCCAGTGTGTTGGTGAGGATGAGGGGATGTCTTCTTCTTCCTCATCTGTGGCATTGCAGAGAGACTCTGGGTATAGTGTGTCTGGTTCCGGCTGTGATTCTTCAGACTCTTGTTCAAATACAGAAATGGAACTCGCACAGCATCAAAAGAAAGAAATCATTGTGGATTGTTGTTCCACAATTTAATTTTGTTTGTGCAGCATTTAAAAAGCAAAATGGAACAAAAAACACTATGTTGCCAAAATTAAGCACTTAAGAAGTTTTTGATATTTATGTTATACATGTACCATATAATTTTTGTGCATTTAAATGTGAATAGCTCTTATAAGTTAATTTATACATTTCTGCATTTTATTTGAGAAAGCAACCAGTTTTAAACAGTTGTTACTGCATTAATCTATTAGGTTTGTTGATGCAGAGCCAATATAATTATTTATTTATCTATTAAAAGTGCTGTTACACAAACACCTTTCTGCAGTTTTGATTTCTGTTGTGGGGTCTTTGCTCAAAATAGCTATTCATTGTGGACTGGAATTCAAACGTTGAAATAAGACTGTTTTAATGCCTATTCCTATGGATGTTCAACTCTATGTTCAAGTCATCCATGCCTCTCTTTATCCTCCTTTTTAAACCCAATCTTAAAATGTCCCATGCTATACAGTGGAGTGCTACATTTTACCAATAAAAAAGTGACAAAGTCCTTGAACAACTGATTTAAGAACACTGAAAATAAAAATTACTTATTATCAAGTCAAGTAATACTGAATGAATGTTGCTAAAACAACATTTACCTAACCTTATACAAATACCTTTGCTGATGAAGTTTCCAGCAAATATCTTGCTGCTTCATCTGAGGACAGGTGTTATTAAGGCAGGACTTCACATGCTTATAAATGTCGTAATTGGATAAGAATGACCATGAAAAGCACAAAATATAATGCCAGGAAATTGGACCTTTCACAGAAAATTTCATGCTTAAAGATACATAAAGTGAGTGCGAATTTTCAGTAACACATATAAACCCATTCTACTAGTTTCTTATACAATTAAAAGTTGACATGCCATGCTATTAAACCAAGTTACCCGACTTCAGACAAAAATAGCTTTATAACTACAACTTAACATTTTTGTAAATAAGTTGGTTCTTCAGTTCATAATAGTCTGCTTCATTATGTAGTACTTCACATGCACTGCATAACCATCACTATTACTCCCATGTATGGATGTATAGCTGTGTGTGCAATTGCATACTTGTTCAAATGAGCCTGCTGAGGGATATTTATAGCACATAAAGAAGAAAATCTGTTCATATAGGTTATTTTTCGGGGAAATATGAAACGATGTGCTCTGCTATTTCTCTAATTATACTGTTTGAAGCAAAAGTGGCGTTTGGTGCCGTTTTGTGGCAAAATTTGACTCTAAGTGCATCTTTAAGGTTCCAATCTAAAGGGCACCTTTTTGTTTTTCTTCAAGGGCCAACATCTGTTCCTCCATAGACTTCTATAGCATATAAAACCTGAAAGCTTTTGGGATTCAGTCACCCAAAGGCAAAAATTGTACATTATTGTGACATTAACAGTAGTACACACAATGTAATTTTAATTTCTTTACCTCCCTTGCATCACTCTCCACCTCTCTTGAATCATTCACCAGAATTTTGAGTTATGCCTTCACTATCCAATTAATCTTATGGACAGCATTGAAGAAACTGGGCTCTGTTGGATAACTCCACAACCCTTCAAATGTTTCAAGGAGAATCTTAACAGAAAGAAACAATGCTCTAGTTTGGTCCTTAATTTTGGGGACAATTATAAATAGGTAATTGCATAAACTTCATATTAGTCGATAAAATAAAATGCAAGTCATAATTGTCAATGATTAGCCATTTATTTACCGTTTAATGCATAAAAAGTGCACTATTTACACTGTACTGTACAATTATAGAAAAGAACCGGTCAATGATTTATGACAATTCCTACAAGGGGCCATTAGCCCACAATGAATACAAACCCTCGAGTCTTTGTGACAGAAGACCCTGAGATTTACTACACATAATAATTGTTATTACACTTTAAATAATCCTCAAAGCTTCTAATACCTTGACAAAATTGACATAATTGTATTTGTATCAAACTTAATCCACTTCATATCACTGTCAGTAAATAAGCAACCACAACATTTCACAAGAGTTTGTGAAATGAGCTCATTTACAGTAATAAATGTATAAAAACTGAAGAAATGACTGCAAATTCACCATCTATGAAATATGTTCTCCATTGATCTTGAGGTTAAATTTTGAAAAATGTCTATTACGGAAATTGCAAAACATGATGAAATACTAATAACTGTCACTTCTGACAGATGTGAACAGTTTCATTTTTAAACAGTTTAAATCTTGTTTCTTCTTTCCAAAAATAGTTTGAGTCGATAATTTTTATCATGCAGACTCCATAAAAACTGGCACCATGACCACTGCCGAGTTCAGAACTGCATCCCAGAGGCAGCAAAAGCATGCAGATTACCCATCTGACTTAAACCACTCTGAATATGGTTGATATGTATCTCAACACTATTCTGGAAACACCTGATTAAGAAAGAATAAAACATATTACGGTGAAAAGAACAGCTAAAAATGACTTGGATTTTTGGGTTCAAATGTTTACGTAATAACAAACCATTCAAAACTTTGAAAATCAATTTTAACTAGAGGATCAGAGAGGCGATACCGCCTCCAGATATTGTACCACCAGCTGGAGTAAGCGCATTCGTATGGAAAACCAAAAACATACAGGAACAACTACCAGTGTTGTGTTTGACAAGCTCTTCAAAATGCAATAAACAAGACAAGAAATATGCCCCCTCCCCCAAAATAAAAAAACAGCACAACTTTTATAAAAATCGTCTGATCAAGCTGATTTTCAAGACAATAGGCTTGTCAGTTTTCTTTAAAATGCATTATCAGTGTTGCATATATATTGAAAGAAAGAAATAGGCCTATCTCTGCCAGTTTTAGAAATATAAGGGATAGAAAATTTGCAAAGTTCAGTTCATGGTGAAAAGAAGGTCAAAGGACAATTTAAATGTGACAGTTAGATGTCCAGCATATGACTTCCTATTCAAGTTCAAAAGTAACCATGCGTGTATCTCTGCCAGTATTGGAGATAAAAGGGATGGAAAAATTGCAAAGTTCAGTGCATGGTGAAAAGTAGGTCAAAGGTCAATTTCAAGGTCACATTTAGATTGTCAGTACATGACTTCCTATTCAAGTTCAATAGTAACTATGGGTGTATCTCTGCTAGTTTTGGTGATATAAGGGATGGAAAAATTACAAAGTTTAGTTCATGGTGAAAAGTAGGTAAAAGGTCAATTACAAGGTCACAGTTAGATTGCCAGTATATGACTTCCTATTCAAGTTCAATAGTAACTATGGGTGTATCTCCGTTACTTTTGGAGTATTTCACATTTTATTTTCACCACTGAATATTGCTCAGCTGTGCTTTTTGATATAGCACAACTCCTTGACTGTATCGCAAACAAAAAAATGGACACCAACTTCAGTACTGCGCTTGACAAGCTCTACATAATGCAAAAAACAAGAGGTCTCTAGCATTTACGGTTCCAGAATTAGGGAGAGTTTTCAGTTTCTCCCATGAAAATGCACCGATTGACCCCATCTCCCCAAAGATGAAAAGAGTCCCTAATTGCATCCCCTCACTATAATATAAGCGCCAAACTCTGTGTAGTTTCTGAAATTCAGCACAAATAAAAGTTCTTTTGCAAAAAATTCCTATTTTTAGAAAATTTTGGCCTGTTTGACCTTGAAAAAAAAGGTCAAAGGTCAAATCCAAAGGCATATTTGAAATCCTCATGTATGACTTTCGGTCAGACTTCTATACTAATTTATCCCATAGTTCCTTCCGTTTAAGAGATATATAGCATTGAAGTTTCAAAAAATTTGACAAGGGTGCATTTCATCGAGTGTCACGCCCAAGCAAATGCACCGACTGAGACAAAAAGGGGGTTCAAGTTGAGATTATATGTGACCTAAATCCAAGAGATGGGGGCAAAGGTCCTTGCGGTCTAGGAGGAGAAGCGGTAACGGTGACTTGTATCCCACGCCACCCTGCGGAGCCGGCGGAGCTCACGGAGCTGTACGATATGGGTCGGGACTAAGACCATGAGTACCGCCAGCATACACGCTGGTGGTACTAATTAAACTTGATGGGCTAAATGCCTACTTGGATAATAATACCCAACTTAAAAAGGAAGAGGATAAAAACAGTCAAACTGAAACTACAAAACCAGCAAATAACCAACAATTTTTCTGACTTACAAAGAGTTTGCAGGATTAATGGTCTCCTTGACTTCTGCTAGTGAATCTTGAAGTGAACGGAATTCGAAGGAATTCATGTCAGATTCAGCAAATGTCTGAAAGCAATGTTTATAAGTTTGGTAAAAACATGCAATGCATTATTGTATGGTTTTAACACAGGTAATTTGTGCACAACTTCAACCAGGGAATATTTGCTTGCCAGTGTTAATAAAAACCTTTTTTACATTTAATATACATACTTACTTTGATCTGCATCATCATAGATGTCAGTTTCGTCACCAAATCCAGCATCTTCTCACTTCTGACCTGACGCCTGGCAACCTATCAAACACAATTCTTATCAAACTGTAGGTAGGAAGAATAGGTGATCACAAACAAACTACTGGTAACTTTTGCTGGTGCATTTTCCAAATAACTTTCAGAAAGTAACACTACAATATCTATAAAATTGTTTTGCCATATTTCATAGTAAAAATTATTAATCACACCACCATGATAATTGCAACAACAGGACTGAAAAAATCAGTATAGAATGCTCATATAATTTAGGACATAGTCAAATATCCACATTATGCATATATAAACAAGGTAATAACAATGTTACCTGTGACAGGTTGATGGTCCTGACCAGATCCTCTGCTTCCTCCTCTGTCCTACGCTTGATCTCACTGGGTTGGTCTAATGCAGGCAACCCCTGGTCTGGGGCCAACTATACAAAAAGAATTTGCAGTTAAAAAAACAACCATATACTTAACAGAACTGCCACATAATATATAAATTTATCTTACAAAATAAATTATAAATAAAATAAAATGGACTGTGAATTCTGTGACATCTATACCAGATGTGGAAGAGTTTTACTGCAATTTTGTTCTAGTGCCAACTTATAAAGATTGAAATGAAAAGCCCTCACCTGTTGACAGAACTGCTGCACTCCCACCAAGTAGTCATTTAGGTCCTTATTCAACTTATCCAGCTCCAGAATAAGCCCTGCATACTTCTTCTGGAACTCCATTGTCAGGGGCTCTTGGTATGATTTCTGGAATGCATCAAAATTGATTTTGAAGCTTTCATCATTTCATTCATCAAGCAAAGACCAATTACATTGTAGTGCTTATAGGAATAATACATTCCTCCAGCCACTTATTTGACATTCAATGGTAAAATCTGAATTTCATTTGGTAAATATAGGTATATAACTTCAGGAAAGTGGAAATTGTAAATTTGAATGTACATCATACCAATTTTTCCGCTTGTGTATTCATGTCTTTCAACTGTTTTAAACATTCTTTCTTCACCATCAGAATCTTTGATAATCTTGTCTGAAAAACAGGTAATGAACGCTTTATAAAGGTATCATATGAAAAAACTGTTACTCACTAAAATATTTTTTGTTGTCAGCTCTCAAACCTATCTGTAACACCTGTGCCATAAAATACACCGTTTTGCAGTAAATACAAGTTGGTACCATCTAGGAATCATTTGGATATTTTCAGCTAACCAATACAGGATTTGTTGGTGTTGCAAATCCATTTAAATGGAGATGATGGCATGCCAGGATGGGAACAAAATGCTTTGATACCTTGCACACTATACACAGTAACTTACCACTAAAACAAGAAATTTTATAGGAAAACCACCATATGTGCCACTGTCTAGAGGCATTACTCTGCCTTTTAATGGTGAAGATCCAAGAAGAGGGTCATTATCCTGCAATTAAATAGATCACCTTTCTCAAAACACATCATGAGAATTACACTTGACATAAAATAAATGACCAGATCAAACTACAAGAATTCTTTTATAAAGCAACCGTTTTATTATTTGGACCTTTAAGTGTGTGTCCACGAGAAAACCAAACCAAATGTAGAAAATGCGGCAAGGTGGGGGTGAACGGATTTACATCATATTTGGTGGGTTTGAACCTTTATATGAACAATATCTGAGGCTACAATATTTCCTGAAAAAAATCCCTACTTACAGAGATATGGCCAGTGACAATTTGGGGGTATTATCAACCAAAAATTCTTCTGAAAAACAGGGTTATATTGATTGGCCTTAAAGTTTATACAGGTGTCACTAAATGATTTAGTTTGGTGATATATTATAACCTAAAGATAGAGGATTAAAATNAATATATATTAAAATTATCATATAAACTCTCAAGTTAATTGCCAGTGCCTATCCAAAGTAACAGAATCTAAGATTTATTTCCTCTAAACTTTTTGTCCATACAAATTAAAAATTCCATATATGGCAATTTACAAATATGAAGCCCAGTGACTTTGACCTATGACCCACTGACCTGATATTCATTAGTACACATCTACTTTCCATGCTCACCAGTCCCATTAATTAAGTAACATCATTGTAGAGCAAAATGGTTTAATAAATTAATCAAACCCATTGTCTACATAGACTTGAATGAATCCACCACGATTTTTTGCCTTAAAAATGGCCAACTTTGGGGGTATTTTTCAGTACCTGTTTTAATACAGCAGTTACTTTTGAAACTTGATTTGGAGTGATCCATATCTGCCTAAAATATTCATGCAGTTTTATAGCTGTAAACCCTGTGAAGATGGAGATATATGCAATTAAAGATGGAAGTATCAAAATTGGACTTTGGGGGGAGGGGTGTTATAAATGGGTGTGGCCCGCCCAAGCAGGGTCTTATCTGAATTCTACATATATCTGTGGCAAGCCAAATGATTGTTTTCAATGTTTGTAAGGTCTAATATTTTTTAGTTTTCTCCATTTTTGTTTAATTTACACAAAATACATCATTATTTTTCCAAGGTAAAAATGGAGTCTCAAAGAGGCTACATAAGCCATGACTTATAATAGGCTATAATTCTCTGAAGAAAGGACATTTTTGGGATTCCTTCCTCACTCATGAATAACTTTCTAATATGCCTCCATACAACAAATTTGGTTGAAATCCGCTGACCCCCACCTTGCCACCCTGGGCTGGTTCTCTCGTGGACAAGCTCTTAACTATTCATTTAATTCACAATTAAATACAAAATTAATTTATTGGAACGCATATCATTAATTAATTAAAAATGGGAACTGTCTTTTTCTTACCAAAGTGGGGGATCCTGGTAAAAATCTTGGTGGTGAAAAAAGATTTTGTTGCCTGGGCCTATGTTTCTGCTGAAATGCTGACAGTGGGATGGTTTCTTGGGGGTCATTGCTCTGGAATGCACACAACTCTCCAACTTAGCACTCAAAAATTGCACACAAATCACTTCATGGCACATAAAGCCTCTTATCATACAGCCTCTTATCATAAAATTTGTCAGTTCTATTTTCTTGCATATTTAATTTTATGAAAAAGGTCTTTCAAACAACACATTAGCATAAAATAAAAATATCACTTACCCACCACCAAAGCTCCATTAATCTAAATGCAACATAAACTTACCAGTACTTCAAAATCTGGGATTGAATGTGTCCCTAGGCCCTGTCTGTCAAATGTGATTCTGTAAGTATTGGACACAGTGTCCAGAGCTTCAACTGACCCAGTAAACAGCCCATCTTGAGGACATCGCAGACGTGCTACAAAAAGATTTTAAAATCTCATAAATTTACAAACCTATTAAAAACACAAATGCAACAAATCAAAAATATTTCTGTTATTACTGGATCAATAAAACATTTGGCAATCATGTGGCAATCACGAAGAAATTTACAGGAAAGATAACTCTTGCCCTATGTGACAACTTTAGTGGAACAACGCCGTGTAAATAATCTATCATAATTTTGTTATCAACAAAAATATGGAACACCTTATTAGCAAAATATCTCAAGAATGTTGGTGAAAAACAAAATTTCCCTCTGCTAGTCTTGAACTTCAAACACCGGCCAAAATGGTGCATTTACCTGTGACTTTGGTCCCTATCACAAGAGGCATTGGGATTTCATCTGGCATGTCCTTAAAACTTAACAGCTCATTTAGTTTTCTCTGCTGAAGAAGTCTTATCTTTGCCCTTCTTGCTTCAAGTGCTGCCCTCTCCTCAGCAAAAAATGCTGAAGAACACCTACAGCAAAGAAGAGGAACTGTCTTAGATCTTTATCTCATTAAGATTTTCTTCCTAAGTGATAAGAATTATCAGGAATACCATAGTGCATTTACAGGGATAATCCTGGGCCGCGCGATTGCGCCAAATGTGCGAGCCTTTTCTCAAAGGCGCAAGTAAAATTCTAACATGCGCCATTTTGGCGCGTACAAATAGCAGAAACTTTTTTCATAATAAAGATCTCCCTACATTATGATGTCACTCGAAGTGTACGTAGCGATGTTGCGAGGGCTGACATGAGACCCGTTTCACAAAAATTTATCGAAACTGAAACAAGTACGGGCCAATAAAGAACACGTAATGCTCAAAACACTGAAAACAGGCCCCACATGGACCTCTGAGAACACCTAACTACATGTGCTGGGTAAACAAATATGGCTTCAGTCGGGCTGCATGCTGAGTAATCAATAAGTGAAAAGGAGAAATATTCGTTTGTTTTTTAGATGGGTGCTTCTAACTAAATTTTAACAGACTTTTTTTGTAATTTTGCACCTTTAGCGGTGCTGCATGTCTCAAAATGAGGGACAACATCGTTTTCAATGCGGGAATTGCGCAATGGCACAGTCAGGATTTAAAACTGTCCATCATTATATCCACCTAAACGAACCAGCTTAGATATTGAAAAAATTGCACTTTTTTGAGGTGGGGGTGGAGGGACTGTGCAAGTGGAAATTAGCTGGGGGACAGGTGAAACTTGTCAGCAGTAAGCCTGACCGAACAGGTGTCCTGAAAAATAAGCGTAAAGCCCTGCAGCAGTGTATAGTAATAATCACAAATACTTAATGTATAAATACACTAATTGATATGCCAACTAATTTTAGTAATGTTATGTAGTTGCTTGCTAGATTTTTATGTAAATATAGATATATGTAAGACGGGTATCTCTCTGCTTAGATAATTGCTTAATTGTTTTCAGGTTAAAAAAGAATGCAAATATTTCGAAAACTAAAAATTCTTTTCAGAGCAATGGCTTTTTTTTCACAATAAAATGGGAATTGTCAACCTTTTCCATGCAGTGCTATTACTCAGCACAGTACTTGCCATTTCATTCTCCAGAGTGCTAAATGAAATTAAATCATAGTCCAAGAGTTCAACACTGAACTTCATCAACATGTTTCACACTTACTAGTTCTTGAGGACAGTAAACTAAATAGTAAATGAAACACTAAAAAAGTTATAAGTTGATTTACATTCCAATCAAGCATTTCTTATAAAGTAACCTATCTTTGCCTACCTTCTTGGTTTCCCCATGAGACGCCTTATTTTACACCACTCCACTCTAGACATTTTACGCAGCTTGAGTTGAGGAAAAGTTTCTCGAAGACATATACAGAAATCATTCTCACCTCCAAACAAGACTCTGCAAAGAAACATCAAGAAAATAATATTTGAACATTAAAAAAAAATCTGCTAGTGCCTATTGTCATACTTTTGTTGGAGAAAAAAAATACAAAGTTTGGGAGCGATGCCTATATTTCATCCATTAATATCTAATAATAGTAATAATAATAATACAATAAAACAGAAACACCCAAAACAAACACTGCAGAGTTTTGGTAGATATTCACTGGTCAATGTTAGAACAGAACCACTAAAAATGCATTAATTAATTGACGTATAGTTTAAGGTTGACACTTACTGACATAAGCTTCCATAAAACCACTTATAACATAATCATTTGTGAGTTCAAGATTGATACTTACTGGTCAATGTTAGAATAGAACCATTCATAACACACCCACTTATGGGCTTTGGGTAACTTAAGTAAGTTTCTCAGCCTTACACCTATAGTGTGTGCTGCTCTTTTGTCAGGGGTGGTTAGTATACTTCTTGCCTTGGGAATGAAAAATATTGAAAATTAACCAATGTATCTTTAGAAAAGACAATAACATGAAATTGATGATGAAGGAAAGGAATAAAGAAGATGGAAATCAAAATGGCATTTTCAAAGACTTCAAATTAAGCTAATAACTTATCAAAATTGTAACCACAAATAAGATGACATGACGATAGCTAATTGTGTCTAAATAAAATGTTGGCAATTTTTATTATATTTACTTACTGGAGAAGAATACTTTGTTTTCTTAGGTGGCATTCGCATTGCTGATACACAAGTTTCTTCATCTTCATTGAATATCAAACGATTTTTCTTCCTCACACGGGGAGGCTAATTAAAACAGGTGAAGACATAATCACTCACAGCAGAGTCATAATTTATAACCACTGTTCTCTGCATTTAAATCTCTTATAATACAACCTTCAACTTTTCCATAGATCTACAATTCTACTAATCATCTAATTTGTTGAAACGTAATTGATATAACAGTTAATCAAATATTATATTTATATATAAAGCCATCGTCATGGTTCACTATTTAATGCATAATTGGTTATGATGAAATGCCTCATAAGAGATAAAGCTTTTATGGTAGTCTGTGACATCAGCCACTGGTCCGTTGCGCATGACCAGTAAATTTACGTGGACCAGAAAATTTTTTGGAATGTGTGAATATAGTGGTCCCACATGGTCATTAGATTTTTTCAAAAAAGCTTTTGATTTTATTTTTTTTAGGAAGTTAGCTTTTACATGATGATTCCAGATAAAAAACATTTAACAAAATCAAGGTCTTGTTATAACTACATGAAGGCAATAGGTGTAAATATCCAAGATTTTTTTAATTTTTTATTTGGGCCAATGAATCCCGATTCAGGCCAGTAGATTTTAGGAAACTGGTGGTCTGCATGGCCATCAAAGTAAAAAGTTTGTCACAGTCTGTTATAGGAAATAGAACAAGTTACTTACATTCCCTCTCCTTGCTGGAGGTGTCCGTGAATTACCTGGAAATATAATGTCAATGTTTCCTTTATAGTTTTAAAATATGGCAATCTTGTTTATGAACAAATTATCACCATATGCTCCATGAATTACCATTATTAAAATGCACATTTTCCAAATGCCCATCACCAACCTTCCTAAACTATTTTCACTTATACCCTGTTCACACTACGCTCAGTTATCCGGATAAATTGCGAAGTAGGTCACAATTCGAATAAATGCAGTAGTGTGAACGCAAGAGGATTTTTGTAATGCGCATTTTCAAAATCCTGCAAGCGAGGTGGATTTCTAAGCGCGATCCGGATAACTTACCGGAATCGACACCTGTCCAGATCTAACTGCGCATGTGTGCAGATAAGTGCGGGTATCTATGAACGCTTGTTTATTACTTTAGTGATTGCACCAAACGTATTTGGAGGTCACCACTCACTACAACATGAGGAAACAAACTTATTTTGCCATCTTATACTTCTCAAGAATGCTGGAATGTCTTTAGAGTTGCATTTGTCGTCACAAATTTTTGTTGGTATTTTAAGATTTCCTGTGCGGCATGCGCGAGTGTTCAAAACAGGAAGTTAAACCTGAAATTTTCAACGTGTAATTCGGTTTTGCTTAGCGTGTGTGAACGCAATACCGAATCGAATTCCTCACGAAAAATTCGGATTATAGAAATGCACATTTTTGCAACTGTAGTGTGAATGGGGTATAATTCTTTTATACCTATGGAGCTTTCCTGGTAAACTACAACATTTTCCGTTTTAACGCCCAGCCCCTGAGATTCTCTTTGTGTCCTACAAGGACAGTGGGAACCAGGGCCGATTTACAGACTTGTATTTAGTACAAATTCTTTGCAATCTCTCTGAGTTAAGAGTCTGTGTTTTTGAATCTCGCTGTTTCTTTTAGTTGCAGATTGAACTTTACATGGTTAACATTATTTCAGTCAAGTCATATAACAAATATAAATGACAGATAAAATTTACATTGCACAATTCCATTATGTCTAGAATTATGTATGCAGTTCATTATGCTATTATTATAAGTTTTTTACTTCTAACATACAGGTTTCCCTCTTTCCTGTATGACATGGCATAACCATGGCAGAGGAAAATCTCATTTGAGATGTAGTTTAAGGAAGAAACTAGGTGAGACTTACCAACAGAGACTGCCTAAATTATCAATGAACATACTCAGTCATCTCAAATTCTCTATAGTACACATTTCAAAAGTGGACATGAATTCTACGGACCTCTTTTGTTGAAAAAAAATCCAAAACCAATATATATGATGATACCATGGGGTGGGGGTGGGAGGGGTAGTAATCACAGTTCACATGAAATAAAATCACCAATTTACAGTAAATAAAACTTCATTTGTATCTCATTGATAATGCGAATCAATAATTCTGAAAATCAGAAATCACCAGGTTTAATGACTTTGTTTCTTCAAGGCCAAAGAATAAAAAACTGCATTCACGAGTCATAGGAAAAAAATAAGATTAAGAAATTTAAAATCAAATTATCAAAGCTGTGGTGCTGGGACAATATGTTAATCAGGGACCTTAGTGCTGGAGGGTCCATACATATATGTATCAATATTATTTTTATTCAATAATACTACTGAATGAACTACTAGTACTGTGACATCTAAATGTTTAGACCAAATTTGTGGCTTTAGCTGTTTTGTAAAACATGTCCTTGTTCCAGCTGATATTAACATTAAACATAACCACCTTCAGGACCCTCCAGGAGGTTTCTGGAGAGATAAATGATATTTCTTACAGTATGATTTTTAAGTTGCCAGTATGGTCCAACCGGTAGGTTATTTATTATCATCCATGTGACTGTCGAAATCAAAAGGATCTATATTACTGAGTCTTTGTTGACAAATTGCATGGTGCATATAGCATTCAATGTATAAAAACATTGCCAGTGGTATATCTAAAATGGTCACAATTAAACCCCCCAAAGAATACTTTGTATCATGTAATAAACAAAATGCTTGTATTAAACCAATCTTAAGAGCAGAAATTAACTTTGAAATTGAAGTTAGGAAGCAATAAGTGCCAGCGCAAGGCAGATCAAGACCAATTATTTTTAAGATCATACTTGAACCCCACCCCAATTCCTCTAAAAAAGGGGTGCATTTTTCCAATATACAACATGTCTTAGTCGGGCTTTTATTATCCAGCTTTTATCGTGCACTCAACATGCAACGGACCCATAAACTTACTTTCACCAGAGTCGTCTACCTCCGCCATGTTTGACGCGCCTCTTTTTAAAGAGGAACTCTGGGTAATCTCGAAATGAATCTCGTGGGGCCAGCTCTTTAGAGGAAGAGGTGGGGAATCCGAATGATAGTGTGCCTGAAAGAGTTAGCAGGCTGTTAGTGTACGATGTACCTCCTTGGTTAGTGGAAGTGATAAATGCATGCATAGACGCATGAAAAATAAAATTAATATATAAAAGTCTAAATGTAAAAATTTAGTAGTGTAGTAATTATAGAAATAATTTTAAGTCAACTAATGCGAATGAACCAAGTGTTGCCCCAACTACATTGGTGGGCTCTAAGGTCAGAGTTTTTGTACGACGGAGAAATTCGCAGTAAACCACAAAGTCGCCCTAATTATACACAATTAAACATTTTCACCACTAAAAAATAAAAATAAACGAATAAATAAATCAAGTTGCTATGCTTATTTAACAATGTACAGTATTTACTGGTGAACTGACCCTGTTTTCAAAGATCTACAGTACATTACAAAGAGTCGCCGCACATAAACTAACTTATCAATTTTATATGCCAACAAGCAAGGAGTTTAAAAACTCCTTGCAACAAGCTACAATGAGTGCTGGAAGCATTAGGTAAAAAGAAAAAGAAAGGTAGGGGAAAGGGGTAGCGATCACAGTTCACAGGAAGGTAAAATCATCAATGCACAGTAAATTAAACTGTATTCATATCTCACTGATATTGTGAATTAAAAATCCTAAAAATCACTGGGTTTAGTGACTTTATTTCTTGAAGGGCGAAGAATAAAAAGCCGCATGCACATGTCACAGGGAAAAAAAAATTAAGATAAAGAAATTTAAAACCAAATTCTCAAAGCCATGGTGCTGCCACAATCTATATTTACAGGACCTAAGTGCTGGAGGGTCCACACATTTATGTATTAATATTATTTTCATTCAATAATACTATTGAATGAATTACTAGTAGAGTGACTTAAAACCTCTAAGTGTTTAGACCAAATATGTGGCTTACATGTATTTTAAAACTCCTTGCAACAGGCTGCTATGAGTGCTGGCAGCATTTACGGGTAGGTAAAATGAAAAGGAAAGGTAGGGAAAGGGGGTAGTGGCCCCACTTCACAGGAAATGGTATAGTATAGTATAGTTTATTGCCGAATCAACTTGACATAGGCATATAACCAGAAAAACAAACATATAACATTTGTGGTAGGTGGAGGTGGCAACCACTGTTGACATATTGGAGTACCTAAAAAGTGGTGGATGGACAGACTTGTATATCGAAAAAAAAAAATTGCAGTGTGACTTTTCTTTATAAGGCGAATATTATATAGTAATTATATAGTATACCAATAAACAAATATTGTTGGATAAACTCAAAATGAAAGCATCAATTTACAGTAAATAAGTTGCTATGCTCATTTAACAATGTATCTACTGGTGAACTGACCCTGTTTACAAAGAGTCACCGCATATAAACTAACTTATCAATTTTATCTGCCAACAGGCAAGGAGTTTTAGAACTTGCAACAGGCTACTATGATTGCTGGCACACTTAGGTAAAAGGAAAAAGAAAAGTCCAGATGTCACATATTGGCCTTAGTTTGCAAAATTTTTGAAGATTCGAAGATTTAGTTCAAGAAGGTTGCTTCTACTATATGTTAATTGACCTGTTTGCCAGCTGCACTACAGGTAAATGATAACAGCAGGGTTGTTGTAGGGACTAAGATTATGGAGGGGGCGGGTGTTTGTCCCTGGCATTAATATATTGTATCAAGTTTAATCATATATAGTATCACATTTTCCCTGTAAAAATGTATGGGGTTTGTGAGATTTTGCAAATTGAAAAAATGAAATTTAATACACCCAGCACTTGTATACCCAAGATCTGAGAAAGGGTCGTAAAGAAATATTTATCTCTCCAGAAACTGAAACACTGAGATTAATGCATAAGGGATATGTGTGATTAAAAGACCTATTTACTTCACCTTAATCATATATTTAAAAAAATTAAATCCGTCTATAGCTCCAACATGTGACAGTGCAACTTAATGGAAGTAGTTTGAATGCTGTAATTAATTCACTTTTTCACATTTATTGATGTCCTAAATGATTGATCAAAATTTCACATTTAGCTATGGAAATATATGCATTTGTGTAAACAACCCCCACATTTCATTTCAGTACTTGAGGGTGCTGCCATATTTGATATTTATGTGCTTGACAAAATATTACTCTTTTGAACACTGTTTCAAACTCTAAATTAGATGGTCAGATAGTCGTACAACAATACATGTATGTCAGTTTGGTCCTGCCCCCAGTCAAATGTGCAGGTGCTTGGAGTACTGCAAAGTAGACCACTTCAGCAATTTAGCTTGCAAATTTTTTTAATGCAAAGATCATGACAGGATTACCAAACACTGAAAATGAATACTAGTTAAAATAAATTTTAAGTATTTAATGAAAAGACCATGACTGGATTATCATGCAAACACACCAAAAAATGAATAACAGTGTATCTTATTTTTACTCACATCAATGCTTGGCTTTGCCATCTGCCAGTACTAAAAATAGGTACCCCTGCTGCTCAGCAAATGCCTCCCACCTAATGGTGTCCATTTGCAATTCGATGATCTGAAATTGCCCTCAAAAGCTGTAAATTGGTGGCAGTTGCATGGATTTGACACCTCAACACTGTCAAATAAATAATGCATCATTTGTGCACGGTGGAATAGCACTGGTATTCACTGCAATCGCGATTAGCAGGACCAAAGATGGGCCTCTCTTCTCTTGTTATAAAGGGTTGGGTTTTAAAAATAATTTTGCAATTTGCTTGCTCTCTGAGCAATTTTATTTATTTATTGCAAATGTTACTTGTTGTTCAGTGGTATTTGAAGACCCATATCTGTATTGTTCGCCAAATAACAGGTAAAATATATTTTTGTTTTAGGTGAAATTTACCTGTTGCTAAGGTTATAATTGCCATTTTTGAGAAATTTGTAACTTGCCTAGGCATTAATCATTCATTTATTTTTAAATTGCATTGTTTATATATGTTCCAGACATCTTGGAATTCTAGTTTAATTTTACATTCCCATAGCATGGTTTGTGAAACATATAATAAAGATGTCAGCTTCAGTATGCACCCGTGTATTTCATTTTTGGAAGGTGGGTGTGTACATTTTGGTTTTGCAAAAGGGAGGGCTACCATTCTCTGGATCAGCTTTTATATATACAGTAGTAGGTATACAAGCAAGTCATATTGAGTACATATATTGCAAAGTATGCACCTACTAGTAAATAGGACATATTATTGCATTATGTTATCTCTATCTGTTACACTTTAGACTGAAACTGGTTAGTTGCTTCATGATAAGACTAAGGATGGTTTACGGAGAATTTTGATTACTTAAATGAAGTCAATATTTGTGCAGGTCATGAATCGTCGCAGTCCAGTGTTAAGGCATAGTTCCTTCCTTATCTTCGTTACGGCAGCTGTAAGGACAGCATGTTGACCACGGGGTGTTTGTCAGTACAGGGTAAAGTATAACTTTTTTTAACATTTAGTGGATTTATTATGCGTTTAAAAATATTTGATATAACCCTTTTTCTAAACATTGGAATTGGAATGACATGAAACATATGAAGAAGTAGATTCATACAAGGCTTTTTATGTCTCTGTATATATTCTGAACATTCACTGATCAAGGTATCTGTCTGTGTTCTGTATGTTCTCCTTGTCTGGTATGTATGCTGCTCACCCTGTAAATGCCAAACTGTTTTTCTTTTAATTAATTGAGTCACTTTGTTTGGTAAAACTATAAATGCCAAACTGTATTTTGTTACTTCAACTTTGCTGAGTGTCTTTGTTTTGTAAAAATGCCTTGTGGATATCAACAAGAATGGGCATTTTTGACAAGAGTTATCAAACTTTATAATTTTTTCTTTTATATGTATTTTGTTTATGTTAATTTGTCCCATAAATTTCATGTATAGTTGTGTCTTTGTCAGGATAAAATACAGGTTCCAAATGAAAATCAGCACGATTAGATGATTTTTTAATGAAATTTATTAATATTTGTTATTTTTATCTTTTTTTGCATGAATGATTGTGATGCCCCCCCC